GAACCCCTTTTATTTTAACTATTTAAAACTTTAAAAATGTTCCACTCTTTGAAGAAGCAGCAGCAAATTCGCTGATTATCGAGTTATCGAAACTATCGATAATTTTAAAAAGCTATCAGTAAGTTTTATTTTAGCTTACGTAATGCTATTTTGACTAAGTGTCTTCTTTTCTATAATATATTCTAGTAACATTTTCGCAAGAGCTGGTATTAGTTCTTATTTTCCCGCCGTTAAACAATCGGTAACAACTATCGATAGTCGCCAAAGCAATTGGCATATACAATTATTGTTATTATTTAAGATTGCACAATAATTAAAACTCTTATAAAAGTCTGCTGTCTATTCAGATAAGACTGATTGTTGAAACGTTTTACAATTTGCTTATCTACAACTATGAGAAACTTATAATCTTTTGAGACCCAGACAGACCTAAAACTTATCGGTCAATAAAACTATGCTCATTAGAAGCAGAAAACGTAAAAAGTCTTTTGATATCTGAAAGAACTTGTCTAATTTTGCAGATAATAAACCATGGAACGGCCAACATAAGTAGTATTTATTTTGACTGTGTAGATTGGACTTCCTGAAAAGTAAGCTGAGATCTTAAGTCCTATAGCATAATAAAAAGTATGTTTGTCTGTAATAGAACTTTGTTGTAGCTATGCTTGATGTAACTATTACATAGATAAAAAAAATAGTATAGTAAGTTTTCAGTCCCTTATCGAGTTTAAGATGCTGCCAAGGACGTTAAGTGCAATTAGCTTTAAGCTATTCTTCATTTTATATTGTATTTTTAACACAGTATTATAATTAATTTTCTTCTCAAACATAAGCCCTGTAAACCAAAACCTAAATACCCCTTACTACAAGATTTCAGCAGAGGGTATTAGGAACGCGTTTTAGTCACTTTTTCGTTCGCATTTTTCGAGCAACTCAGAATAGTTAATTTAATGAAATTTCGTAATCCCCCCAGACCCAGCCAATCAACCAAAAATAGCTAATCAAGCAATTTTCGTATCAGGGGAGGCAGGCGAAGAACGTGCGCTCGATCGCGGGAACTCTAAGAATTTGCCAGCTTATCAAAATCGGACCAAAATACAAAAAAGCTTTAAATAAATTTTCATGTGTGGATATTCGAGAGCTCAAACAAAAGAATAAATAAATATATATATACTTCTTATGTGCTGCCTATGAAAATTATCTCAAGTTACGATAATCCCATAAATTTAGAACTCTTTTATCTTAAGCAAATATTTGTTGGCCATAGTAAAACATAAAATGTGTAGACGTAATGACAGATAAGAGGATTTAATAGAGTTCTTTTTTTCAAGAGATACATGAGGCGCAATCGCCATGTGGCAGGCCGAAGCGATTCAAGAGCAAATATATATACATAAATACATATATGCACATTTGTCTATCTGAATTACGATCGAGTATTATGATGAAATTCTGTGAATGTAAGCACTTTTATAGACTTTGATTTGCTAGATTTACTTTATTAAAAATGCATTCAATGCCTCAATTAGCCAACGCTGCAGCGTTTTATGTTCTACGGACTGTAAAAATCACCTTTATGGCCAAATTAACGCCATTAAATTTTCACTGGCCATTAACAATGTTTGGCCAGCTACTGTTTTGGGATTGGTTTCCTTCAAAGTGGTTCTGGCCAAGTACAAAATACACATTTTTACGACTCTCCATAAACATGCGATGGCTGATCTAATTGGGAACTACCTCTAAAGATATAGGAGATGAGCTGAATCGGTTGAAATTCCGATTTATAATTTATGTTTTACTATGAACTAAACTTTTGCGTGAAAAAAACAGATCTTAAACCAAACAAAAACGGGCTTTACGAACTGAGGAAAGTTTGTTTGAACCAGCGATTTCTTTTTTTTTTTGGGGGGACTGGCAGCCCTGGCATATATAGCACGTGATCATTTATGGCTTACAATTAAAAATACAACTTGATTTCCTTATGGTATGCCAATGCAATTACATAATAGCCATTAGATACATTTGAAAGACTCCGGCAAGCCCCTTGCCCCTGCAGCCGAATCCCAGCCGCTCGACAAGTTAGCGTCAAGATATTTCACACAGCGGCTCTTTGAAAGAAATATCTTGAGCCATAATGCGCGTAAGTGAGCATTACAACAAATGGCCTTCATAAGGCGGCTCTAACCGAAACCACAACAAAAACAACTTGAAATTAGCCAATCAAAACTCAAAAACCAACGTTCGGCTTTTAACAAGAAATATGCGGCAGGTGTGTGTGCCTGTGCCTGTGCGTGTGTGTGTGTTAGAGAGGGATGCAAAATACTAGACACATTGTGTGGCATTTTATGTAAGCCGAACGAGACGCATTCAAAAATCGCAGCACTTAACCAATAAAACACAGATTGCAACAATTCAAGCAAAACAATTAAACAAAATGCGCATTCAAGCTACAACAACAACAGACTCTACATATTAAAATATTAAAAGAAAGAAAAATTAAAACAAGAGACCACTTGGCCTTTCACTTTGGCCAGACAAAGCCGTTAATTGATGTTGGGCTTGCAAAAAATGTTGCAAGTACATACAAATATATACACACCATGCATAAACATATCATAATTTAATAGTTAAAATATAACTAAATTTGTTGCCTGCAAACACTAAGAAAACTAATACCTATCGCCAGGAAGATAGTATGGCGATAGCTGAGCAGAAAAGAAGAAGACAGTTACTCACAGTTAAATAAGAAAACCACTAGAAGATAAGAAAGCAATAGAAAAGTGCTACTTGTCGTGATTTGCAGTACCTTATAGATATACTGGGAGGGATTTACCAATGAACGGACAACTTAGACCAACTTTTCTTTAAGCCGGCCTTTTTTTTTACATATCCTTAAAGCGGACATTTTCCATAGAAAGACAACGCACAGGAATCATATGATGTACATAGATAAATCAATATACTATGTAGGTATAATTTTGATTTTTATTATTATATATCCCATTTCCAGGCAAAGCATTTTTGTTGTTGTACAAAAGTGCAATAATACGTTATTTCTTCCCGATGGAATCTGGAATTCCAATTTGATCCCTCGATTAAAACTTTTCCTCATATTTATAAGTACTTACTCATAGATACAGAACGCCCTTTTTATTTCCTTGACTATAACAGTGAATGTTGAACTTAAGAAATTGAAAATAAACCAGAAATAGTAAACACTATAAAAATTCGAAGCGATTTATTCAAAAATCTCCCCAAGTGCTGCAAATAACAGAACATTAAAGCTCAAGTGCGCTTGGGAAGGAATTCCCGTTCAAAAAAAACAAACAACAAAAACTTGATTGTTCCAACAAACGGTATTACGAAATGCTCTCATTCGTTTTGATTTTGTCAAGAGAACATTAGAATTTGCTAAGCTCATTAATGAATGTCTTGTATGTATGCATATATGTATGTATTTACATATGTATATTTGTGTGTATGTATATGTTACTCATTAAGAAGCTCATTAACATGATAATCAGAAAACATTAACAGTGAAGCAGCGAGAAGACAACAGTACATCAACAGTGCGTTCCATACACATGTAGCATGGAAAATGTTCGCATGCAACAAGTCGCTTTACATTGAAATATCCAAATGTTCACAGGAAATCATCAAAATGTGCAAGCGCATGTTGAATACATATATCCAATAAGACTTCTTTTTGACACACACACACACACGCACGCTGCTCTTGTTGTTGTTTTGCTCTCTTGGCGCTGGCATTGTGGTTCGCCTGGGTGCCAAAAGGGGTACAAGTCGAAGAGACTGAGAAAGAGAGAGAGAGAGCGCGAAAGAGCGTCAGTCGCGCACTTACAGCTGTATTGCTTATTTGTTCGCTTTGCCCCCTTCTTCAATACGGATTTATTTTTTTTTTCCTTCTATTTGTTGTTGCTGCTACTTCGTGCGGGGTTGCAAAGGCAAGAAAAATCGAAAGCGCCATCGCGACGTCGGTTCGGTGCTGGTGGTTGCTTTGGACTTGGTCATTGCACAGTGGTTGCCACCCAAAACAATGGATCGGGCGCACAGATAAAGTGTACAAAAACAGATCCGAAAAAGCGCGACTCCAACAAATTGTCTGTGATAAATGGATATGCAAGTATGTGTGTGTATGTGTGAGTCAATTTACAGTTGTTAACACATTGTACCACTGTCGCTGGTGTTGCTGCTGATGATGTTGATGATGATGATGATTAGATGATGATGACGGCAAGCGGTTGAAAAGTCAAAGTCAAATGCAAGACATAAAACAATAACAACAGCGGCAGCCATAAACTATGTACACCCTGTGTATACAATAACAGCAGAAAGCAAAACAAGTTTTCACTTTTATTTAGTTTTTTCGTTTTTGAGTAACTTAGGCATGTTGAGAGGGGTGGTAGAAGGGGCTTGCCGTGTGGCATTCATTACCAAACGACGATTCAATTGCATTTTGTTGTAGCTGCGGCAAATTGTGGCCATAATGAATTGCATAAGCCGGAATCACAATCTCAAGCCGCTGCTCAGCCACATTTGGTCAACTGCAGAGGTTAGATTGAGAGTGAGTGAGAGAGAGAAAGAGAGAGCACACAAGGCTCAAAACTGGCTAATCAAAACGCAATTGAAATAACACATCAAAATATGACCATTTAAGGCAACGGCACATTCACAAATTCCCATATGCGGCTAATCGACATCTTTTAAAAAACAACTACAAAATTATATATAATAAAGCGCGCGCACACACATACACATACACACACACACACCACGCACCCGAAAAGTAACTCATGCTGCATACGGTACTCGCTTTATGTACTTCATTCATTCATTAAGCTCGCGCTCATTCTCATTCTCATTCTTTTGGTGCCCATTGTTTTGGGTGGCCGTCGCGGCCTTGCCTTGGCGCTTTTTTCGCAAATCCAATTCCCATTCCAATACCGTTTCCAGTGGGTTGAGTGTCGAGCGTGCACCGCAATTGGGAGTGGGAATGGCGTCGAATTAGCTCATTTACTTATTGTTGCTACACACTGCTCATTTTGGCAGCGGAAAAAGCACAACGGGAGCTTAAGCTCGAGCTCATGTGCGTCATTTAAGGCAATTGCGCTTTAGTAGTGCTCGCAACAACTGTTCAAAGATTAAAAAATAACAATGCGAATCTGCACAATAAACCAGTGTATTATGCTACAAAGGCTGATAAACAAATTGACGGAAGCAGTCAAGGAAAGTACGTACAAATACAAGCACATAATTTTCGTGTAATGCCCAATTAAATTGATGATCGGAATGTGCGGGCGTACTCAATCAAACAGCAGATCAAACGGACATGTTACACAACGTTTGGGGTTGATTGCGCCCGGCGCACACTCCATCAATCATAGCAACGGTTTACAACACTAAATAAATTCTGATACGATTATATAATCCAATTAGAATTTCATTGACAAAAATTCATATTGATATGAGTGCGTTCCAGTGCGTCTCCGACTGATTTCGAAAGGGCTCTCTCTCACATGCACAAACACGCACACACATATGTCTGTATACGAAGAAATGAGCGCGCGGTTAGCATGCTAATCACAAGCACGAAGCAAAAAGAGCCGAAACAACAACAACACAAACAAACAACAGTAAAAGGCAAATACGAAATAACAAAATTAACAACTCGCCTGGTAACTGGAGAACTGGGGAAACTGGCCGATTGCCGTTTGTCGACTTGCTGCCCTTTGCTCGGCGCCTGTTCAAATAAGTTTCAAATTTTGACAAATAAAACCATGGTTTTGTAATTTACGAGCGCTATTTTCATCATGATTGAGCGCGGCGACTGCGACGGCGACGCCAGTTGAGTGGAGTTTCCCACGCCCATTATTCACACTCAGAACAGAACGGGTTTCAGGACTCAAACTCGCTCTCTCTCGCTCCCTCTCTTTCTATCGCTCTTTTACTGTGTACTTGGTTTTTGGTTGTTTGTCTTTTGACTCCTCCATGGCGAGAGCGCAATAAAAAGGGATTATGTGCAAGCATGTTGCGTTATGTCTGTTTGAATGTGACTGTGTGCGTGTTTTGGGAGGAGTGGGGGGCGGGTGATAAGCGGGGTTCGAGCGAACCGAAAGAAGCTGCAACAACATCTCCCCGTCTAGACGTTTGATTACCGGCACACAAACACAGGCGCACCCAACACACACAGACGCACACACATGCACTCAGACACAGGACGCAGCAACAGCAGAAGATGAAGAGCCACAGGCCAAGGCACAGTGAACTAAAATGTCGTTAGATCGCCACCAAATGATAATTGCTTGGCCAATTTGTTTTTTTATTGGTAAAGCGGATTTTTTCTGCGTGTCTCTGTTCTCTTATCAGTTACATTATTGGAGTGGAAAGAGTTGGAGTCATAAATGTAAAGGTTTTTATATTGTGCCTGGCATGTACATGATAAGGTGTACATCGAAATGGCTTGGATTTATTTTAAAACATTATTTGAAATGAAATCATTTGCGGTGCACATATTTTATTATTCATGTATTATTTTTCTTATTATGCAAAATCTGTCAAGTCTTTTTGGATTATATATAGTCAACTAGAGGTCACAAAGGTCATTTGTGACAATTTTCAATTCATCCCCGAATATTGCAAGAGATTCTTTATGAAATGTATTTCATCAAATCTTTAATTTTTTACTTAATATAGATGATTGTCATTGTAATATCTGAAGTATACGTTATTGAAGCTTGTAATAAATCACCACGTGAAACTTATACTTATATATATCCACACTATTTTTAAGAACTGGCTACTCTGCTCTTCGCGACTGCGATAAATAATGGACATAACAGATAAATAAATCTACCAATTTACTCAATTTAAAACATATTTTGTTGTTTATGATTTAATTAAATAAAGTAACAAACTTGAAATATTTTTGAGTAAACGAAAAAATAAAGTGACTTTTGTATTTTTTTGATGACCTCGCCTTGTCTTATCGTAAAAGGAAATTTTTTTCGCTTCAAATTCATCAGTAATCACGTAATTTCAAATGCAATTAAGCTAAGCAGATTTTGTAAATCTCCAAGAGAAGCACATAGGCCTCTCCCTCTCTCTCCCTTCGTTAAGTTTCAATTACAAACCCCATTCGATTCAGCAGCTTAGAGAACAAAGGCTTAACGAGAAAAAAAAATAAATCTCTTATCTGATAATTTCTTCTACCTGACGTAACTCATTTGCTTGGGGTTGCGGATATGTCATCCATATGCATGCGATTTCGTCACAGTATATTAATCAGCATTGTGTTTCTAATGTTCTTCCTCTTCTTCTCCGTTTGCATTAGCTGTGCGCATTTGAAAACCACTTTAAGCAATAAAGATAAAGATCGAAAGGAGTTGCTTCACTTTTTAGCACAAACGTGACCACTGTGCGTTGCAAGGGACAGGGGGGATGGGGGGGAGAAGACAGAGCCAGTGACAGGCTTGTCAAGGACTGTGCACACTCGATGCTTGGCAAAGGTCACATAATCGGCACGGCGGAGCCTTGACTTTTGCACTTTCGTCAAATGTTTGCGCCGACATTCAAAAAGAAATCAAACACTGCACTTAAAAAAAAAAACGAAAAAGAAAACGAGCAAAAAAAACAAAAAACAAAAAGAAACTCACCACACAGCCAAATGCTTCAAGTGTCGTCGCCTTCTGGGCGTCCTTTTTGTGCAGTGGTGAGTTAAGCGGTCGTCAGATGAAACTGGAATTTTTGTAGACTGCGTCTTTGCCAGCTTCTGTTTTGATTTCGTTGCTCTATGTTGTTGTTGTTGTTGCTGCTCCTGCTGTTGTTGTTGTTGTTGTTGTATCGAATGCTCTCAGCTGCTTGCGTCTGTATTGGTATTTTAGTGTGTGTATGTTTTATAAATCCTTTTGTTTCGCTTCTGCTTTTTGGCGCGCAATTTTCGATTGTCTCGGCGGCTGCTGCTGCTGTTTTTGGTGTTGTTGTTGTTCTTGTTGCTGTGTCAGGCACACACGCGAAACCGTCTTGTTGTTGTTGTTGTTATTGTTGTTTGCATATCACGTTTTGCTGCTTGCCTAATACGAAACAACAGCTACAAACACAATAACAACAAACAAAAACACACACAACAGACACACACACACACTTCCTTTCCCGAAAGGAAGCTGCGTCCGTTTTTTGTTTTTCTGTTCACTTCTTTCTTCGTTTAGTTTTATTTTTTACTTAATTTATTTATGCTTATTGCATTTTCAATTAACTAAGCAAATAACACTCAATTATTGTTTTTCAGTTCGTTATTTTTTTAGCTCTTTTAATCTGTAGCAAATGTTTGCTGGCTGTGGGGCTCCGACTCCGAGCGACGGCGACGCGTTGGCGACAATAAATCGACACGAAAAAGTAACGTCCGTCTCGTTTGCACGTTTTGAACGAACTGAGAGGCACAAGCAAAACAAAAACTCTCAGAGCCAAAGCAAAACACACGATTGTGTTGCGCACGACAGCAAGTCGACCCAGTAATACACTGCATGCAGTTAACCTGCGGCGGCATGTCGTAATGATATTAAAAGATATTGTTGCTTAAAGCTTGTTATTGTTTGCGCCGACATTCATTAATATTTTGACTTATATATATATTGAAAAAAAATTATTATAAGGCTGGATAGATACCAAACGTACAGAAAATATTAACTAATTAATTTTGGTTAATCTGTAAATATGTATTTAACTATAACGTGCTTCTTATTCAATAAAAGCTAAACATTTATTAACATATTAAAGCTATATATTTTTTGATCAAATTGTTAAATAAAAGTTATAATAGAAATGTTACCAGAAATCGGGGAAACCGCAATTATGTGTTGCACACAAATATTAATATTTTAATTGTAAACATTCTTAATATTAGTTCAAATTATTTAATAATAATTAAAATCACGTGAAAAGAAGGAATGCCTCTTGTGTACATGCGCTGCATACCTTACCTAACACAGTGTGGCTGTGCGCGACAAACGATGAAAATACCAAAAATACTAAAGAGAAAATGCAACTCTTAGCAGAACAAAACCTACGATATTCTTCTTATACTCGGACGTTATTTATTATTGTTTATGCGTCGGACAGTGCAACAAGAACCGACGGGAGCGAAGAGGACAGCAAGAGGAAAAGTGCGACTCAGCGAAAATCATTTGAAAGCGTGAAATTTGAAACACATGCACCTATAAACATATATTATTTACATATTGTGAGAGACACGGCTGCTGATGAAGTAGCAAAGATTAAGAACGGGAAGCGACAACAGGGTGCGAAGAGCAACACAAAATGCAACGCGACGGAGATCAGCAGCGGCTGCTGGGTGAGGATCAGCAGCAGCAGGCGGAGGAGCAGCAGGACGAACAGATGCTGGGCAGCGAGCACATCGCGCCCGCTGGCATTGGCTTTGTGCCCGCCTTTTCGCCACAGTACGACGTCGACGATGACGAACGCTGCCTGCTCGTACGGGAACGGGAGCGGGACGAGGTGGTGCAGCTGACGAATGCGCCCAGTGCAGGCGCCGCGTTAACCTATTGCGTCTTCTACCTGCTCGGCATTGGCACCATGACGCCCTGGAACTTTTTCGTCACCGCCGAAGATGTAAGTAGCCCACGAGAGGAAGAGCAGGTCCCTGTCATCCAAATTGCCCCTCCCTTGAGCCCGCATTATGTTCGATTTACAAGCGCAACATTTGCGTCGCTGTCTAAGACGTTGTCTTATCTCCGTTATGGCATTGAGCTTTTTAATGGTTGTTCTCGTTCTCGTTGTTGTTGTTGTTATTGTTATTATTATCGTCTTTAGTTTCTCTTTGTTTACGCTATTTTGGTTGAGTCAGCACGCCCCCCACGCCTAGCGCCCCTCTCCCACCAAACGATCAATCGTTGTTTGCCTGCTTTGGACTTGTTGCACCCTGTACTCATTACAATTAACGGTAACGGGGGGTTGTATAGAAAAAAAGGCAGAGTTCGTTCGATAAGCAAAACTATTAGAATGAGAATATTTATACTGTTATTTGCATACTATTCAAAGACTCGAAATACAAATATATGTTCGCATCATATAAATTAAAATTATTTAGCTAATTAGCATTAATTTTAGAGGCGAATGAACCCAGTTATCGAGTGAACGCTGTTCCAAATCGATAAATATCGATTTTCATCGATCGATATTTCTGGAGAATATCCCCAAGATAAGAAAAGATATAGACTTCGCACAGATAATTAAGCTACATAGAAAACGAATATATATTAATTGTATACACTCTTGTATACCCCCTTCTTCTTCTTTTCATGATGGGAAACTTGGGAGAAAAAGATTTGTGAAAGCAACCGTATTAAAGAACTATTCATACAGGGTATCAACCAGTCGGTCACTCACTAAACTGCATTTATTTTCGCAGTATTGGAAATACAAATTCCGCAACACAACGTTCAATGATACACATCCCGAGGAGGAGCTGACGCCGCTCCAGAAGAGCTTCACCTGTGACCTGGCCCTGACCGCGACCATTTCGGGCACCACGTTCCTCCTGCTGAACGCCGTCTATGGACATTATGTGTCGCTGCGTGCCAAGATGCTGGGCACGCTGTGCACGATACTCGTGCTCTTTGGCATCACCACGGGCTTCGTTGAGGTCGACACGGATCGGTGGCAGGAGCAGTTCTTTCTTATCACGCTCATCATTGTGGTCATACTGAACAGTGGGTAGACACTCTGGGATGCCTGCCTGCCTATTAATATATATGTATATGTGCGTACTCCTTCCAGTTAGCTCGGCGACCATGTCGGGCGCCCTGTACGGCGTCGCTGGCCTCTTTCCCTCGGAGTATATGACAGCTGTGGTCAGTGGCCAGGCGCTGGGCGGCATACTCACTGCCCTGGCGTTCATTTTGGTGCTCGCCTTCGATGCGGGCCCCTCAGCCACCGCCTTTGTGTTCTTCATCATGGGCGCCCTGCTGATCTTCTTCTGCATCGTCTGCTACTCTGTGATGGCGCGCCAGGCGTACTTTAAGTATTATCTGGAGGGCGGCGATAAGTTCAAAGTGATTAGCGCCCTGCCCGCGCATAGCCGCAACGACGAGTCGGGCGTGCCCCTCGAGCCGATGCTCAAGCAAGTGTTGGGCAAAATCTACATTCAGGCCGTCTGCCTCGCCCTGCTGTATGCGACAACACTCTCCGTTTATCCGTCGGTGACGGTGCTTATGCAATCGGAGCATTCCGCCAGTCACACCGAGTGGAGTGGTATGAGCCCTACTTGTTATCTAAATAGTTATATGGAACAGCATGTGCTGACTACGTGACCGACTGAAGACTGACTCACGAAATCGCTAGTTTCAAAGTCCAGCTGCAAGACTGGAAAATGAGCGGAAGTCAGTTTAGCCTTTGTCGTCTTTGATAAGACAACTTGTATTAGAGTAACTTCAACACACATTTTTAAAGATCTATGTGATAAATCATAGATGGATGTTATCAAAACATTTTGGTACACATCGCTCTTGGCTAGAAAATATTTATCTAGATTCAATTCTAAATAATATCCGATATCATCCTACAAGCAAATTTAATGAATAATCACAATGTGGAACATCCACCCACACAGTCGGGAAATAAGTGGAAGTTTATTTTTAAAGATATTTGGGAAAATTCATTAGAAACTCTTCTAGTCTAAAAATGGACTGATTAACAATAAAATTTTCGCAAAAAGCGGGCCTACTTCCATTTTAAAAGTTCTTCAAATCCACTTACACGAGTGGAAATGGGTGAAAGTGTGTTTACAAATTTTGTCATTGTTATACGAACAGCTTAAAAATAACTTATTTAACGATCTATTAATTGGAAAATACAAACCCTGACTGGAACATTATAATGAATCGAATTCAATTCGATTAATCTTAAGAAATTCACAACTAGGCGCGGAAAGTAGTTTGAAAAATGAGTGAAAATTTTAAGCTTAAACCTGACCCGGACAAAACTGTAGATTATCAGTTGTTAGCCATATATTTGTACATCTTACTAATAGCTTCCCCACTTTCAGATGTTTACTACCTGCCCGTTGTGAATTATTTGTTCTTCAATTGCGGCGATTACGTTGGGCGCCTGATTGCCGGCTGGCTGGAGAGTCCCAGGAACGAGCAGACGACGCTGCTCTGGACCGTGGTGCGTGTGCTGTTTGTGCCCTGCTTTCTCTGCTCGAACAGCAGCGAGCACCACTTCCTGCCCACGCTGGTGCAGCACGACCTCACCTTCATGGCCATGATCATAGCCTTTGCGCTCTCCAACGGCTATCTGACCAACATACTGCTCATCATGGCGCCAAGGTGACGTATTTAAGAACCCCTTTTGTCACACGTTAATATTGACAATATCCTTGCAGAAGCGTCGATCAGCATGAGAAGGAACTGGCCGCCTCCATAATGGCCGCCTCCCTGAGCGTGGGCATGGCCGTCGGCTCGTTGCTGAGCTTGGCATTTGTGCAAATGTTGTGACCGCCTTCTGGCCGCCCCTATCCGCCCGTATCCTCCCGTATGGTGCCTTAGAAATCTTTGTTTATATTTTTTTAACTATCGATAGCTAATTATATCTATATTTTTTACATATAACCAACGTCCCAATGCTCCAAAATTAGCCAATGTCTGTAAGACCTTAGACATATCAAAACGAAGTTATATGTGTTAACATTTTACAATCGGTTTTTTTTTTATGACGTGTTTATGATTTATGGCCACATTTTCTATGTATATACATATATTTAAAGAAAATGAAAAGAGCAAGCAATTGAATCAAAAATAAAGTTAGTTCTTCTTTTTAAGGTAATTCTGTATGTTTAACGTTTATTTTGGTTTCTGCAGATCACGACAACAATGTGGATTAATTTGTTTTTAAATTTAGGTTTAGTTTTTAGTATGCATTTCTTGTATATTTTTTATGTTGTCTTTTAACTAATGAACTCCACTGTTAATATGTGTATGTATTGTATTGACATTGACAGCATTAGACAGCACATTTAGTTTTTGAAATTACGCTGTTTTATTTGTTATTCGTATTTATGTTTGTAAATTTAATTTCGCCCTGTGTTCATTCCGCAAAATCGCATATTAAATTCAAAATTTAACTGCCGTCGCGCTGCCAACTGAACATTGATAAGCTAGTTGGCAACGCGTTGCTCGTTCTCACTGCTCTCACCAACGGCTAACTGCACTTTTTGCATTTACGCCTTGTCTTTGAGCGTAGAGCTGAACTTGCGCTCACAAAAGTTTAGCTCGCAGATTAGACTAAAATAAAGTTAATTCACAAACTTAAAGAGACTCAAAAACGTTATGAGTTATGTTTGAGCGCGCTCTCTTTTGCTTGAGCGCTCTCTCAATGAGTAAAGTGAGTTGTCGCCATTTTGTTCATCATTCCTTGGCAGCAATTGACTGCCAGGCTAACCAATGCACATCAAACTGTAACGCACTCACACAGGCACAGGGCGTTTCAATAATTTAAGTTCGCATTTAAATGCTATTTTCATTAACTTGAATGTATTTTAGTGCATAATTGTAAATTGTAATATGCATTTTAACATTATTAAATTCTGCTTGACATTTAGAGATCGGTTTAAAAACTGTAAGTGTTTCCAGGTGTTAACAATATGGGAGACGCGCTCTTTAATACGCTACGATCTGGTCCAAACATTTAATTAGCTAAGTTATCTTTTTGTGTATTTATGTGTTTAATACTTGTGCAACAACAAATTCGTTTGTTGCGCTGGGGGAATTTTCCAACCATATTCAATAATAACATTTTACTTCTTATTTACTTTTTGCGGCCTAAATTTCTTGATTTTCTTCTCTTTGCTTTGTGGTGTTTAACACCTTTTTTGCTTTTTGTTTTCCATTTTCGTATATAATTATGTTTATTCAATTTGGTTTTTCTACTAACTTAATTTTACGAAACGCACAACAACAAATGTGGACTAAAGCCTGGCTTGAACGGAAAATGCGGGCGCATGCAGTTTTTTTTTTTTTTGAGCGTGAAAAGCAAATGAAAATCTTTCGGAAAAGCGCGCTGCAACTGCAACATTAACTTTAACAACAACATCAAAAACAAGAACAACAAGAACAACAACAACAACAACGACAACAACACACAGATACAGAGTAATTAATGCTTATGGACATTATGTACGTACAACACCAAAAACTATTTTAGTTGATTAATTTTTAGTTTATAATGTCCAACTCGAGTCCAGTTGGAGTTCTACGATTTGAATCTGTGTTGGCCAATTATATTGTAACACACATATAACATACACATATAGAAAGTTCCGTAGCCAATCTTTCAGTTCCACGCAGTTTCGTGGAAACACACGTAACGTGCGCAGAACGAATGGATTTTTATCTTAGACACCAATATAGACACATAGACACATAGACACATAGACACATAGACATGACTATTATGCTAAAAGAATAAACAAATACACACATACTTATATATTGTATTCACCTAGTATTCACGGATTTCGGGTTTGGGGGAACTGGAGTATTGCTTGTCGCTATTTGTAGAATTCTTTTTTGGGGGCTTACAAGTGTTATATGCTACATACATAGATACATACATACATACACGAATTACAACATCAATTTGGGCGGAAAGGGGGCGGGTTCTTGGGATTCATCAAATTGTCTACTCGAGTAGCTTTGGAAAGTATTTTAGCATAGGAAATTACAACATCTAAGGTGGTTTTGCCGTCCAGTGAAATGTTCTTTCAACTTTAAGATTTTCATCTCTTTTAATCGTTAATTTTTTTTGTTTGGTTTTGATTTCTTCTCATTACATGTATGCATACATATATTCGGTAAAGAGTTTTGTGGGCTGCACGTACGATTTGTAGTGCTGAAATTTTGGATTTCGTTTAAAGGCAGCTTGGGTTTACCTAAAAATCATATCAAGTCCGGTAACAACACAAGATCGATCGTTGATCAACACTTAAAAGTTTTTCTTATATTGTTTTCATTAATATTTCATTTTCTTTTGTTTTTGTTGTTTTTTTTTGGTTTTTTATTTTGATTGTCGCTAAAAGCGTGCACAGTTTGGCGCAGTGCTGCTCAAACTGTGCGGACGCCATTTTGGTATTTGGTGTTGTAGGCTGTGCATCGTCTGTGTGACTGTGTGCGTGTGTGTGTGTGTGCGCGTGTGTACATGTGTGTCAGGTTGGAGATTGTGCCCAAAAATCTAAAGAGAACATAACAAAAAAAAAAGACTTAAAATAAAAAGCAGTTCGACAGCGAATATTTATTAGAACCTTGAGTAGATATTAAATTAAAAAAATCGTAAGTTTAGTGACTAAAACAAACATAAATAAATAGTTGTATAATGCCTAGAAAAAAAGAAGCCAACCAAAGGAAAATTGACTAAAATGTTGGCATAGCCTTGTGCTTCTTCTTCACTATGTTCTACAATGCGCGAGATTCTTTTCACATTCTTGTGCGAGAGCATTCAACAAATAAAATATATGCATATATATATATTGTATATAAATAATTAATGTAAAAGTAAATTTGATATAAAAAGTAATACACACAACCACATTAAATAGTAGAAATGGAGCACATGACGTCCCGTCAGACGAGAGAGAGAGAGAGACTCTCACACTCTCTCTCTCTCTCTCTGACTGCGTCACATAACCTCAATGTTAAGTGAGGTTATAAATTTCTATCTGTTTCTAAATTTGTTTTTCATCTACGGTTTTGTTTTTGTTAAATAAATTATATAGTTTATGCTTAAAGGTTTAGACACTCAGAGTTTCAGCGTAGTTCGAATAGGAAGAAACCGTATGGTTCGGTCTAGAGATAGAATAGAATTATTGTAAGCATATCATCTATAGATAAACATATGAGTCATTCACATACACAATAAATACACCGACTATTACAGTTAACATACAGTTACATACACATAGACATATAGTTCATGTGCTATTCAAATAGATGGGCATATGTACATACATATATGCCCGCGAGTACTACAGCTAGTTTGTTCAGTTAGAAAACGCGTTTCCCCTTTTCGCGTAGTTACAGTTACAGTTACAGTTATAATTACAGTTACAGTTACAGTTATTTAGATCTATAAGACTAATCGCTACGAAGACTTCTTGTTGTTTTTGTTTTTTTGCTTTTCTTTCCCTAACACAACTGCCGCGAATACTGAAAACTAAATAATAACACGTGCTATCTTTCGATCCTGTCCCATTTTACGTCTTCATCTCCGCCGTAATGCTATTGTGCGACTTGGCTGGCGATATGGCCAGGCCAGCCCCCCCGCTGCCCACTGCACCAGCGTTCAAGTTGAGTGTGAGATTATTGCCAGAGAGTGGGGCGGAGCCGCTGGTAACAGCTGTTCCCGCCGAGCAGCCATGATGGTGCGGTCCATGGAAGAGCACCAGGAAGCCGTTATTGGAGACACAGCTGCGAGATTCCGCGTCCTTGTCGAGTATTTGACGAGCCTGCCAAAAGATGTGCAAGATATTTTGAACAATAAATAAATGTTATCTTAGATTATGAACTCGTCCGATCTCTATGAAATATTCAGGGATATTTATGGCATCCAAATGTGTGTAAATACCAAAACCTTCAAATATGCGTTTTTTTAATTTTGGGAGACACATGAGAGGAAGTAAACTATTCTTGATTCTATGGGGGTGGTAAATTTTGATCTATGTCTATAAAGGATATTTGAGGATACCATTATTACTTGAATTTTGTTGGAAAATAATGTTGCCAGAATTAGATGCTAAATTATGTAGAGCTCAAACCATGAACAAAAAGCCAAACCTCGTGAAAATTGGATGATTGCAGAGGAAATATAGCTTGGCCTGCGTTTGCTATAAGAGACCATGCATACATACACACGTGCATGCATACATACATACATTCACACGTGCATGCATACATACATACATACATACATACATACATACATACATACATACATGTATACATACATACATACATACCTACATACATACATACATACATACATATAACATACATACATACATACATACATACATACATACATACATACATAAATACATACATACATACATACATACATACTTACATACATACATACATACATACTTACATACATACATACATACATACATACATACATACATACATACATACATACATACATACATACATACATACATACATACATACATACATACATACATACATACATACATACATACATACATACATACATACATGTATACGCACACACGTATATATACCAACCACAACAAAACAAAAAAAACAAAAAACAACAACAGCAGAAAAACAACAAAAAAATAAACAATAAAAACAGCGAAAAAATCACAAACAAAAATACACTACTAGCTAAGCAAGGAAAACTGCAGAGCCTACTTGAATTCTTGAGAATCGAGGAGGACAGCACTTGGCAGAAATTCGTTTTATTTAAATTTTCAGCACAGAGACAAATAAGCTTGCATGCGTACATATATACAGAAATACATATACGTATGCAAGCACTATCACACACACACCCCCAAACACACACACATACATACATATACACACAAGCACACAAACATAAATAATACTTATATGCCTTCGTACAAAATATTATATTATTATTATAAACCTTGTTCCATTTTAGCTCACTTTTATAAGATTTGTATAGAATCTTTACTTTTTTATTGCTAATTAATATTAATTGTCAAATTGTAAAGCTGTAAAATATAGAATGTAAAATTGAGAATCACAAGATGCGAGCATTGCGAGTTTGTTGATTAGGGCTTTGGGTGAACACTAATTCGAACTCTAACGTTCACATTGCATACATACACACACATGTATATATGCATCACACATACATACACATAAATATGCATCACACATTCATAGACATATACATATATATGTACCAGCGCGTATACCCAGGCCGTGACCGTGGAACGTATAACTTAAATAGAAAGTGCCAAGCCTCGTGAAAATCGGATGAGATTTGACCGCGTTCTGAAGTTGGGTAATTTTGATCTGTGTCTACATAAGATATTTGAGGGTACCCTCTGCACATGAATTTGGAACAAAAATAATTTTCCCAGATTTAAATGCCAAATTGATCTAAAGGTCAAACCTTGAACAAAAAGCCAAACCTTATGAAAATCGGTTGAGTCTTGACCGAGTTATAGGGGTGGGAAATTTTGTCCTATGTCCAGATAGGATATTTGAGGGTACTCTTTTCACATGAATTTGGACCAAAAATAATGTTCCCAGATTTAAATGCCAATTTGATGTAGAGGCTAAACCGTGAACAAAAAGCCAAACCTTATGAAAATCGGATGAGTCTTGACCGAGTTATGGGGGTGGGAAACTTTCAGCAATGTCTATATAGGATTTTTGAGGGTACCCTTTTCACATGAATTTGGACCAAAAATAATGTTCCCAGATTTAAATGCCAATTTGATGTAGAGGCTAAACCGTGAACAAAAAGCCAAACCTTATGAAAATCGGTTGAGTCTTGACCGAGTTATAGGGGTGGGAAATTTTGTCCTATGTCCAGATAGGATATTTGAGGGTACTCTTTTCACATGAATTTGGACCAAAAATAATGTTCCCAGATTTAAATGCCAATTTGATGAAGAGGCTAAACCGTGAACAAAAAGCCAAACCTTATGAAAATCGGTTGAGTCTTGACCGAGTTATGGGGGTGGGAAACTTTCAGCAATGTCTATATAGGATATTTGAGGGTACCCTTTTCACATGAATTTGGACCAAAAATAATGTTCCCAGATTTAAATGCCAAATTGATCTAGAGGCCAAGCCGTGAATAAAAGGCCAAACCTCATAAAAATCGGTTGAGTTTTGACCGAGTTATGGGGGTGACAAATTTTGACCTATGGCTTTATATAGGATATTTGAGGGTACCATTCACATATATTTGGACCAAAAATAATGATCCCAGATTTAAATGCCAAATTGATCTAGAGGTCAAACCGTGAACAAAAAGCTAAACCTTATGAAAATCGGTTGAGTTTTGACCGAGCTATGGTGGTGGGAAATTTTGTCCTATGTCTATATAGGATATTTGGGGGTACCCTTTTCACATGAATTTGGACCAAAAATAATGTTCCCAGATTTAAATGCCAAATTGAACTAGAGGCCAAACCGTGAATAGAACGCCAAACCTCATAAAACTCGGTTGAGTTTTGACCGAGTTATGGGGGGTGGGAAATTTTGTCCTATGTCCATATAGGATATTTGAGGGTACTCTTTTCACATGAATTTGGACCAAAAATAATGTTCCCAGATTTAAATGCCAAATTGAACTAGAGGCCAAACCGTGAATAGAACGCCAAACCTTATGAAAATCGGTTGAGTTTTGACCGAGTTATAGGGGTGGGAAATTTTGTCCTATGTCCATATAGGATATTTGAGGGTACTCTTTTCACATGAATTTGGACCAAAAATAATGTTCCTAGATTTAAATGGCAAATTGATCTAGAGGGGAACCCGTGAATAAACAGCCAAATCTTATGAAAATCGGTTGAGTTTTGACCGAGTTATAGGGGTGGGAAATTTTGTCCTATGTCCATATAGGATATTTGAGGGTACTCTTTTCACATGAATTTGGACCAAAAATAATGTTCCCAGATTCAAATGCAAAATTGATCTCGAGGCCAACCCGTGAATAAAAAGCCAAACCTTATGAAAATCGGTTGAGTTTTGACCGAGTTATAGGGGTGGGAAATTTTGTCCTATGTCTATATAGGATATTTGAGGGTACCCTTTTCACATGAATTTGGACCAAAAATAATGTTCCCAGATTTAAATGGCAAATTGATCTAGAGGCCAAACCGTGAACAAAAAGCCAAACCTTATGAAAATCGGTTGAGCTTGGACCGAGTTATAGGGCTGGTAAATTTTGACCTATGACTTTATATAGGATATTTGAGGGTACCCTTTTCACATGAATTTGGACCAAAAATAATGTTCCCAGATTTAAATGCCAATTTGAGGTAGAGGCTAAACCGTCAACAAAAAGCCAAACCTTATGAAAATCGGTTGAGTCTTGACCGAGTTATGGGGGTGGGAAATTTTGACCTATTTCTATATAGGATATTTAAGGGAACCCTTTTCACATGAATTTGGACCAAAAATAATGTTCCCAGATTTAAATGCCAAATTGATCTAAAGGTCAAACCGTGAACAAAAAGCCAAACCTTATGAAAATCGGATGAGTTTTGACCGAGTTATGGGGGTGGCAAATTTTGACCTATGACTATATATAGGATATTTGAGGGTACCATTTTCACATGAATTTGGACCAAAAATAATGTTCCCAGATTTAAATGCCAAATTGATCTAGAGGCCAAACCGTGAATAGAACGCCAAACCTTATGAAAATCGGTTGAGTTTTGACCGAGTTATAGGGGTGGGAAATTTTGTCCTATGTCCATATAGGATACTAGCGGGTATAACCCGGCCTTGCCCGTGGCACGTATGTTATAAAATCAAAAAAGCTTTGAAAATGATTTTAAAACTGATCGGACGGGAATCAAACAACTTTTATGCAAATCGGAAAACTCTTAAAACTCACCAAAAAAATCTTTGAAATGCATTTTCCACCGAAGGAGTTTAGATTTTGCAAAAAGTGTGAAACACGTCTCAAATGATTTTTCGTATAGATCTTTGGAAATAAATTTGAACACAAAACGTCATCCACCAAATCTTCGACCCCCATTTGCACCAAGGAGGACCGGATTTTTCGAAAAGTGTGAAACACCCCTTAAATGAATTTGAACAAAGATCTTTGAAAATAAGTTTGGGGCCGATCGGATGGTAAACAAAAAACTTTCATACAACCGTTTTCCGCCAATTTACCACTGTTGCGGGTGGAATTTCCCAAATCGCTGAAATACGTATTTATTAAGTTCTTATGTAGAGCTTTGAAAATAAGTTTGAAGCAAATCGGACACAACTTAAAACTTCGCCCAAAAAATCTTTAAATCGCATTCCCCCCGAAGAAGTTTGAATTCTGCGAAAAGTGTGAAACACGTATCAAATGATTTTTCTAATAGATCTCTGGAAATGAATTTGAGTGCGAAACGTCACCCACCAAATCTTTGACCTCTATTTCCACCAAGGAGGAATGCATTTTTCAAAAAGTGTGAAACACCCCTTTAATGAATTTAAAAATAGATCTTTAAATATGAATTTGGGGCCGATCGGATGGTAAACAAAAAACTTTCATACAACCGTTTTCCGCCAATTTACCACTGTTGCGGGTGGAATTTTCCAAATCGCTGAAATACGTACTTGTTAAGTTCTTATGAAGAGCTTTAAAAATAAGTTTGAAGCAAATTGGACACAACTTAAAACGCCGCCCAAAAAATCTTTAAATCGCATTCCCCCCGAAGAAGTTTGAATTCATATAGATCACTGGAAATGAATTTGAGCGCGAAACGTCACCCACCTAATCTTTGACCTCCATTTCCACCAAGGAGGAATGGATTTTCCTAAAAGTGTGAAACACCCCTCAAATGAATTTGAACAAAGATCTTTGAAAATAAGTTTGAGGCCAATCCGATGGTAAACAAAAAAGTTACATACAAACGTTTTTCGCGATTTTTCCACACTTGCGGGTGGAATTTCCCGAAACCCCGTCTTAACGTGCACCTACATTACATAAGGTAGCTACAGTGAAAATTTCAGCTTCCTAGCTCTTACGGTTTGGGCTGTGCGTTGATCACCAATCAGTCAGTCAGTCAGTCAGTCAGTCAGTCAGTCAGGACAAACAGTTTTATATATAGAGATTTGAGGGTACTCTTTTCACATGAATTTGGACCAAAAATAATGTTCCCAGATTTAAATGCCAAATTGAACTAGAGGCCAAACCGTGAATAGAACGCCAAACCTTATGAAAATCGGTTGAGTTTTGACCGAGTTATGGGGGTGGCAAATTTTGACCTATGACTATATATAGGATATTTGAGGGTACCATTTTTACATGAATTTGGACCAAAAATAATGTTCCCAGATTCAAATGCAAAATTGATCTCGAGGCCAACCCGTGAATAAAAAGCCAAACCTTATGAAAATCGGTTGAGTTTTGACCGAGTTATAGGGGTGGGAAATTTTGTCCTATGTCTAAATAGGATATTTGGGGGTACCGTTTCACATGAATTTGGACCAAAAATAATGTTCCCAGATTCAAATGCAAAATTGATCTCGAGGCCAACCCGTGAATAAAAAGCCAAACCTTATGAAAATCGGTTGAGTTTTGACCGAGTTATAGGGGTGGGAAATTTTGTCCTATGTCCATATAGGATATTTGAGGGTACTCTTTTCACATGAATTTGGACCAAAAATAATGTTCCCAGATTTAAATGGCAAATTGATCTAGAGGCCAAACCGTGAATAAAAAGCCAAACCTTATGAAAATATTTTGAGTTTTGACCGAGTTATGGGGGTGGCAAATTTTGACCTATGACTATATATAGGATATTTGAGGGTACCATTTTCACATGAATTTGGACCAAAAATAATGTTTCCAGATTCAAACGCAAAATTGATCTCGAGGCCAACCCGTGAATAAAAAGCCAAACCTTATGAAATTCGGTTGAGTTTTGACCGAGTTATAGGGGTGGGAAATTTTGTCCTATGTCTATATAGGATATTTGAGGGTACTCTTTTCACATGAATTTGGACCAAAAATAATGTTCCTAGATTTAAATGCCAAATTGAACTAGAGGCCAAACCGTGAATAGAACGCCAAACCTTCTGAAAATCGGTTGAGTTTTGACCGAGTTATAGGGGTGGGAAATTTTGTCCTATGTCCATATAGGATATTTGAGGGTACTCTTTTCACATGAATTTGGACCAAAAATAATGTTCCCAGATTTAAATGGCAAATTGATCTAGAGGCCAAACCGTGAATAAAAAGCCAAACCTTATGAAAATCTTTTGAGTTTTGACCGAGTTATGGGGGTGGCAAATTTTGACCTATGACTATATATAGGATATTTGAGGGTACCATTTTCACATGAATTTGGACCAAAAATAATGTTCCCAGATTCAAATGCAAAATTGATCTCGAGGCCAACCCGTGAATAAAAAGCCAAACCTTATGAAAATCTTTTGAGTTTTGACCGAGTTATGGGGGTGGCAAATTTTGACCTATGACTATATATAGGATATTTGAGGGTACCATTTTCACATGAATTTGGACCAAAAATAATGTTCCCAGATTCAAATGCAAAATTGATCTCGAGGCCAACCCGTGAATAAAAAGCCAAACCTTATGAAAATCTTTTGAGTTTTGACCGAGTTATGGGGGTGGCAAATTTTGACCTATGACTATATATAGGATATTTGAGGGTACCATTTTCACATGAATTTGGACCAAAAATAATGTTCCCAGATTTAAATGCCAAATTGATCTAGAGGTCAAACCGTGAACAAAAAGCCAAACCTTATGAAAATCGGTTGAGTTTTGACCGAGCTATGGTGGTGGGAAATTTTGTCCTATGTCTAAATAGGATATTTGGGGGTACCCTTTTCACATGAATTTGGACCAAAAATAGTGTTCCCAGATTTAAATGCAAAATTGATCTCGAGGCCAACCCGTGAATAAAAAGCCAAACCTTATGAAAATCGGTTGAGTTTTGACCGAGTTATAAGGGTGGGAAATTTTGTCCTATGTCTATATAGGATATTTGGGGGTACCCTTTTCACATGAATTTGGACCAAAAATAATGTTCCCAGATTTAAATGCCAAATTGAACTAGAGGCCAAACCGTGAATAGAACGCCAAACCTCATAAAAATCGGTTGAGTTTTGACCGAGTTATGGGGGGTGGGAAATTTTGTCCTATGTCCATATGTTCCCAGATTTAAATGCCAAATTGGTATACCCCGGTCTTCTCGCAAAGATCTTTGAAAATGAGTTTGAAGCCGATCGGAGGGTAAGCAAAAACATTCACACAACAGTTTTTCGCGATATTTCCCTTTCTTAACGTGCACCTTCATCACATAAGGTAGCTACAGTAAAAATTTAGTGCGTTGATCACCAATCAGTCAGTTTTATATAAAAAGATTAGAGAGCTAATAACATAAACTATGCCGGAATCGGCTGGATCGATCGACTATATCATCTAGTTGTTATATAGGAATGATAAACCGAAAACTAAGTTATTGTATGAACAACTTTTCGGTTTCTTAAGATATCTTGACCAATCATGAACTTTAAAAGTTTTACCACGCTTCTTATATATGTGGAACAGTTTCATGGGATTTGACCCCTATATTATATAGCTGACATAGGAATGATCGAACTAAAAAGAAATCAAGGGCTCGTCAGCTTCAGGATGTTTCCTGAGGCAGGTTTATCTGCAAGGGTTTACAAAGGATCGTCACCCACCTTGGAGCGATGCTCGGCGAGGGCATTGCGCACCGCATCGTGCTGCTTCTGCAGTTCATCCGTGCGTTTTTCGAAGGTCTGCTTGAGGCGCACGCGTTCCGCCACGCCGCGCTCCACGACGGAGCTGGCCACTTCGCGCTTCATTCTTTGTGAGAGGGAGAAAGGGAGTATATATCACAATAAGTAGGAACTTTTTGGGGAGAGAGTCTTTTCGAGTTACCTGACCAGCTCGTCGCGATCTCTGTGCACTGTGGCGAGATTCTTGACCTCGTTGCGACGCGCTTCCTGCAGCTGATGCATCACCTCGCCGGTGACCTTGTCCAGGGAGGCCTTTAGCTGTTTCATTTGACTGGTCTGCGAGTTCTTGAGCACCTTCTCGGCGGCGGTGTAGATGGCCTCGTGGTACTTCTCCTGCAGCTCCCGATACTGTGTGGTGTACTCGCGGCAGGCGTAGCGCAGACGCGACTCCTGGGTGCCATCCAGGCTGCTGGAGGCGGCCTCGTCGCCGATTTCGCCGGCGCCGGCGCTCTCCTCGCTGCTGTCGCCCAGGTCGAGGGGGCAGGCCGGCACCTCGACGCCCGGCTCGCTGTAGGGAGAGAGACAATTACTAATTTCAATGGCGTCATCTGGCAGTGACCACATCCCCGAAAAGCACAGTCGCCCGCCGGACACTTACAGGCTCCTGTTGCTCAGGCGCTTCACTAGCTTGTTGGTTATGGTGAACTTCGGCTTCTTGCCTCCATCGAGGGGGCTGAGCTTCTGGCCAGCGATCTTGAGCTTCTCCTTGTCGTGCTTCTTGCGCAGCGACTCGAGCTTCTTCTCCATCTCGAGCCGCTTCTCACGCACCGACTTGTGCTCGAGTATCTTGTCCAGCGGCTCGGCCAGCAAAGGGTCCACATCGAACTGCGACGACTCCACCTGCCTAATCGACGTGCTGACCGACTGGTCCAGCGAGTGCTGATGCTGTATGCCCGATGCCATAATGGAGACGCTGTCATCGTTGCGTGCTCCATCGCTGCGATCCGTGGGCAGCTCCACGCTGGTGGCGGCAATTATCGAAATGCTCGCCCGATGCTTCGGCGAGGTGGCTAGCGATTCCACCGGGCGCAGCTCCTTCTTTTGGCCACCTACTTGGACGAAAACGACTGAAGGATCAGAGACAATCGAGCAGAGAGCGAGAGAGAGAGAGAGATCGAGGCGAGGCGAGAGAGAGAGATAGAAGGAAGAGAGAGAGAGAGAGAGAGAGAGAGAGAGAGAGAGAGAGAAAGAGAGAGCGAGTTCGAACGAGTAAAGGGAACGGGTTGGTGGGTCGGTGGAGTAGCGGGGGTTTTGGGGTGCAGTTTGTGTGTCCGTCAACCGTTTTGTGTGGTGGTGTTTTGAGGAGTTGGTGTTGGTGGTGTATTTTGTTTGTTGGGGTTGTTGGTGGGTGCGTGTGCGTATAACCAAATCCAAAATCCAAAAGTTTAACCGAAAGTTTTATGACATACAAAAGAAAAGTAGAAAGAAAAGAAATTAAATTAAAACACAACTCGAATGCTACCGATATCCTTGGAGAAGGGTCCTTCAGCCAACTAGTTGGGCCCAACTACAACCACTTACATGACTTGGACAGATCCTCGTCGGCATTGGCCAGAGCGTCCGTTTCATCAGTGAGCACTGAGAGCTGTATGTCGCGCTTCTCCAGCTCACTCTGGTATTTGATGGGATTGGCCAGTGCTTCGGCGAAATTGGAGAGATCGTCGGGCACATAGTCCTTGACGACAACGCACAGAAAGAGCGAGGCCAGCGCAATGGGCTGGCCCACCTCGGAGCGCAGATTGACATGACGATAGCCCGGACAGAGACCGATTACGGGCAGCACCCGATGGCCAATTAGCTTGCCGCCCTCCTCGTAGGCCGCAATGCGTATGCTGGCCAGTTCCGGCAGCACCACCTTCTTGAACACGAACGGATCTTCTTCGTAGACGGGATTCATGCCGTTGTCGCGCACCGTCTTGGTGCGGAACTTCTTGCGCACCGTGTCCGCCGGCAGGCCGTACATGTCCACCTCGACAAAAGTGTTGACCCGCTTGTCGGTCAGGAACTGGCCCGAGAGCACGGTGATCGAAACGGTGCCGGCAATGATGCCATCCACGGTGCTCTCGGCGAATGGATCGAGTCGCCGATCCGAGCGTCGCATAAACTCCGGCTTCAGCAGATATCCCGAGCGTGCGTTGTACTCGAAGATGCCCAGATTCAGTTGCATGGCCAGGTCTAGGGTCTGGAAGTTCAGCGCCACCAGCTGGCAGCCAGCATTCCAGAACAGTTGCGGCATAAAATTGGAGCTGTCGAAACGTGTGCCCGCCGGATAAACCCGGGACAGCTGATGCTTGTTGTAGTTGACAAACTCAATGGGTCGCTCCTTGAGCAAAGTTGTCGCCTGCTTCTCATCGAACGAGGACATCTCGTAGCAGCGATTCTTCTCTGCAGAGTCGAAGGTCGGAGACATTAGCAATGAGGGGTGGGCTAGGGGGTCCTTGGCACTTACTCTCCGCATTCTCAAAGGAGCTGAAGTGTATGGGCTGCACGTAGTTGACCAGCGCTGAGATCTCGGCGCCCGCCTCCGTTTCCTTTTGTGCCTTCTCCGGCGGCGGCTCATTGCCGCTGGGCAGACTGGGTGGTGCATTGGGCAGGGATTCATCGTCGCTGGAGCTGTCCGAGTCCGAGGAGCCGGTACTATCCTTCGAGCTCTGGCGTATTTGCTGTCAAATAAAATAGAGCTCTTTAGATCTGGTCTTTAAATAATATGCATTAACTAGAACTGATTTACGAACAAGAAACAATTTCATCATGTCTGCGAAATGGATGGGAAAAGGAATTTATCTATTTGGATAAAACAATGAAGCAACTTCTTCTGGATCGGATAGGCTTGGCTTAGATTGCGATTCTATTTTCTAAGTGGCCTATTTTCTAAATAAATATGGTGGGGCTGTCTTTTGGGCAACTGGTTAGGTTAAGTGCTCGTTTCATGGTACAAAAATGTATGGGAATTCCAGGCTCCAACCTTTCTCTCAACTTTTTTCAATATTCCTAGATTTTCAAGAAATATCTATCAATTTATAGAATGTTAACAAAGTATTTTGAGTATTTCAAAAAATTCTCTAGATTTGTACTAATAAGTTTGTATTGATTTATTTACTGTGATTCGGGCTTATATCAATGAAAAAATAATACTTTATGCATTTTCAAGAGATTTTAAAGTTTTTAAAAATTAATTAGTTAAATTATTGTTGATATTTGAATCAACTTATAGATGTGGACAAACTTATTTGAAAATAAATACAAAAATTGAAAAAATATTACTTTTATTAGCTTTTTGAAATTTTCTGGTTATATAAGATATAGTTTTTAAATTTAAAAATTGATGAAATAAAATAAAAGTTTGTTGAAAGTTCGAATTAGCTCATCGACTTTTTAGCATACACAAATTATGCAAATACCGAATGAAATTAATTTAATTGACTTAATAAAACTTTCTGTTTTTATCAAAAAAGTTTTTAATTTGAATAATTAAAATAAATTAATAAAAAAGTCGACATAAATACTACAACAACAAAATGACATATTGGACGGCTTAAAAGTTTCATTTTCATAAAACAGATAAAAAAAACTGCAATTAAATGTAAATAATTGAGTAGGGGGTAATCGTTATACTATGTATATGTTGCCATAAATTATTGTCAGACATTATGTGACGTGTTGTAAATTTTTATTATTGAATGGCCATTCTCCAAAGCGGAGGTCACGGGCGGGGTTCAGGCTGCGCGGCGCAGCTGCCAATATGAAAGCTTTTAAAATGTTGCGTTGTTATCGCTGCAACAGATCCGACAGCCAAACAGGCGGACAGATGGACCCATGAACCAATGGACCCATAGACCAATGGACCAATGGACCAATGGAGCGATGGAGCGACGGATAGCGTAGTCGATGGGTTGTGTGTCGATAATGCGAGCAGCGCATAATGGCAAGAAAATGACGCAGATTGTGTTTCCCGCGGAAGGAGCTGAATGAGTGGCCGGAGCAGGACTCCGTACAATGGGCATGCAAGTCGACATTGTATTGTGCACTGCACAAGGCTCACAACGACAGCCGAGCCACAAGAGTATCTATATATGCGAACCACCCGCCCACTCTGCTATCTGCTCGTTTGTTCAGCTTTTTGCATTTTACATTTTCCGTCTCGATTCGCATCGTATTGAATCGATTTGGCTTTCAAAGCAAACTGTGACAAGCTGCCCTTAACACAACTCAACTGGCTACACACCCGCCCCGCCCTCCGACCACAACTCGTGCGGCTAATGAGCCCAAAATGCAACGCGCACAATGCTGCCCAAACTGTGCTGAGGTATATGTTTGTGTGTGTGTGTGCTTGGCCGGTTTTGGGCTTTTGGCCGGAAGAGCTGACATCCGCTGCCATTAGCTTAAATTTGCAAAATTGTGGTCCCCAAACTTGTTGACTGGCGGTCGGTTGCCAGGGTTGCCCGGTCGACAATGTGACCTGGCCACAACACCCACGCCCGCACGTAAAATCATGAATAATGATGTGTGCCCCAATAGCAAACGGTGCAATTAAATTAATATGCATAAAGCTCATGAGGGCCACAGAGCCATTAAACCAAGCAATCAGCAAGGATATGAAGTCCATTACAAAGCGGATGGCATATTGTCTTGGGTTTATCGCGAGAGTAACAGAAAGGACAAACATAAATAATTGAACCTATTGGAAATAATGGGAATATTGCCCGAGTTGCGAGGAGTAATAGACAACAGCTTCAGGCTATACCATATTTGGATAGTACTTTAAGTTGGCAGCTCCCTTATATAATATATAAATATAAATCAAATAAAAAGTGAATGCAAAGCTGTAGGCAAGCTTATTATATTCCAATTCTCAACCTGTTTAAGCACATTTTATATGGCCCAGATAGGCTACTGCTACTTTCTTGAATTTCTTTGTAATTCTCAAACAGTTCTGGCAGCTGGTAAACATTGCTTGGCCGTGCCATTTGTACAATGCCTTACCAGAATTAAAGAGGTTTTATTTTTCTGTACAATTTACTTTTATACTGATATTTTATTGGCACTTAAATAAACTGCAAGCTTTAACTTGAAAAACAGATTAGTTAGAAGTAGGAAATCTGAATCTAATTTTAACAACCTATTAAATTGCTTGCTAACTTTAACAGGAAAATTAGTAAATGGTTGTAACCAGATAAAACAACTAATTTAGCTTGTGAAGTCCACAGCGATTTATCTACTCGAAACGAATAGTTTTCAGAAAAACAGATAATGTGATTAGTACAGACAGAGTCTGAGTCTGCGAGTCGTCGTAAAAAGTCGATAAACATTTTACAGAGAAGCTTGAAAAAATTGAATTCATGTTGATTCATTCTATAGAATAAAATACAATTTTGGAAGATTGTTCCGATAAAATGTTGATGAAGTATCAAGCTATGAGACGAACAAATAAGAAAGTAAATATAAATTAATTCAAGTGTTGAGAGACGTCCTAAGCTAATCCGAAAAAAAATTCGTTACACAATTAACATACAGGCACATAAAACTGCTGAGACCCAATAAATTGCCCTTTACATAAAGAAATATATTTTTTCAAAGAGATAAGCTCTTTTAGAAATGTTGTATCAACAATAAAAGTTTAATCCCAACAAGTTGATGCACTCGTTTGAAAAGAGTTTTTTGCTGGCAACGTGATGCTCATCTTGAACAGGGTCAGGAATTGTGAGGGAAACTCTTTTTCTGGTTTACGGTTCGTTGACTGTCACTGGCCATCAAACAGCTCTACAATTCATGCGTTTATTCAGCTTTCGCACATGTGTGTGTGTGTGTGTGGGAGTCGTTTTGTGTGTGTGTGTATGTGTGTGTGGTTGTTGTCATTACGACGTATGTAAACTCACAGCGTAAACACAGCAACGATGACAATCAACATCAAGAACAACAACCAAATACCTCCGCACACAGCAAACCCTTGGCTGGCGTGGAATGTTGGGGAGCAGGGGGCAGAGGGCGGGCGGTGGGAGGAGGCAGGGTCAAGGGTTGGGACAAACAAACAGTGGGACAAATCAACCGGGTCCTGCGGAGTCGAGAGGCAACAAACATCGCAAATAGAGGAACGTGTGCGTGTGCTGCCATTAAATGCAATTACAGGCATGCCATGACCACGCCTACACATACACACAGCCGCCCGCCCACACACACTTATAAACATATAAACTTACTTGCAATGGCGGCCCATGTCCTCCGCCAGCTCCGCTGACAATGTCGCCATTTGCGGCGCCTGTCATTGTGCGTCCTGCTGCTGCTGCTCCTCCTCCCTCGTCCTGCGCTGCGGCAGCCACTTGTTGAGCATTGGCAGCTGCTGCCGCTGCCGTTGCCGCCTTGGCAGCCGCATCAACTGTAAAAAATGTATTGAATAAATACGAGATATATTATGCAACACCAGAAAGCAATAAAAATGCATGCTTTAAGTATGCCCGACTTGATGATACTCTACAATTCAATTTTAAATATCCCATATATTAGAGCCTGCAAATACTGTTGTTATTGTTGGAGTTGAAGGATAGTATAAAGACTTGAGCATCTCATTTGTCACTTCCCAAGCGAGCATTTGGCGATGGCAAAGAGTTGTTTAAACATAACAATTGCCAAGGATTTCAATGTATTTTTCTATTGTCCTTGTAAGCATAAAAGGTTGTGGCTATCGTATAGGTATCTTCCAGACAATAAATATTGCTATTAACCATTAAATCAACTATTTTTACCGATATATTTAAAGAAGGCAACAGAAAGCGTTATGATTATCGTCAATATTTTGGCACTATCCTATTAACCAAAAGATTATAATTAAGCTGAACAATTTATTTCGATTTATCATTGTTAATATATCGTTAAGCTGAGCTGATTTGTTCCGATATCTTTAAAAATAGGGTCTGTTGGCGATGTAATGCGACATATTGTCGTGTATCTACTAGTGGGGCGCATACCTAAATATAAATGCTTGTAAAAAGACTTAATTGTCGAGTTTTCTATACGGAGAACAATTATTTAATATATTTAGTTTGGATGCTAAGATTTTAGTTAAGGGAATGTTTTATTATGTGATCAAGAAAAAAATTCTCATTTCTTAAACTCAAATGAATTCCCCCCTTTCGCCAATTTGTATGATTAAAGGGTATATGGCATGCGAATTATTTTGCAGCATGTTAAGCGAAATGCGTTTTAAAAATTGTTTGCCCCTTACTGCAATATGTGTATAATAAAATAAATGAAGCGCATTAGGTACGCTTATTAAGTTGAAAATTGAGGCCCTGAGACAACTGAGCGGAGGCGTTGGCTGCGCCAATTGGCCAGTTGCGCTGGGATTAAATACAAATATGAGTGCCAGACATATTCGCTGGCAATGGTCATAAAACTGTTCAGCTAAGGAGCACTCCTCAAACGGGGGAGCTGGCAGAGTGGCTCCCAGTAGACGGGCAGCTGGGACTGCAGCGGCAACTGCGACTGCAGCCAGTGGCAAAAGTCATTTGCATTTATAAATTGGCTTTTGCAATTCATGAGCAAAATGTCAACTGACTGTTGCGAGGGGCAAAGTGCCGCAAAATGGCATAGAATGTCAGCCATGGGTAAATTGTGCAGTTGTGCATGCAAATGGATCCTGCAGGACTTCGCAGCGCACAGCACACAGCCAAAGACCCGGCTGTGGCCCATTAGCCAGGACACGAACCAGACAACTAAATACATTTTATATGCAAAATACTAATAAAACTTTAGATGAGTGCACTGCACACGACACGGCAGCAAGCGGCACATCAAGCTCCTCAGCATATGGCCGGGAGCTAAGAATATTGATTTGAGCCAAAGAATCGACTCTCGAACTAAACGACATGCATAATTCTGGCCATTATAGAAAACTATTTGAAAATCAAAACTAATTTCCATGCAAAATATCCTCTTATAGTTAAACTAATGGCAATCGATATTGATACAAAATATGTGAAGGCATCGAGGAATTTATGACCTCATAATTTCCATTGCAAGTGGATAAAAGGGGTAAATTGGTCTTGTCTAAATTTATGTATGCCAGATAAGAGATTTCGGTCCCATAAAATCTTTCTACCAAATTCCTTGGAGTTAATTACAAGTTAAGAAAAGAGTACATCGAAAAGAGTACATTTAAATAAAATTGGCCATTCTTTTGAGAATGCTTTGGGCTTGATAAATATTCGTGGCCAGGCAGATTGAATTAAAAGATTGCTTCCATTTTCGTTTTAAAATTATATAGATTAAGGTAAATTATCAAATATGAAAGCTTCGATAGGTTCAGTATCAAATTTTTGTACAAATCCTTTTACTTATACATTTATGTATACAAAACAGAAAGATTTCTAAAATGTAATCAATCTATAAGAAAAGTCAAGCATATATCTGATATAGAAAGGATCGTTTGAAAATGATGAGTAAAATTTGAGTTTTATATAACTTTGCTTTGAACGTTGTTTTGCACAAATATAAAGATTCTAGGGTAAAATACATAGATAGTTTATCTACTCATTAAATTGGCCTTCAAAATTTAAATCAGAAATTTGAAAATGTAATATGCCATTGTGTGTACTTTAGGAAATTAGTTAAAAACTCGATATGCAAGTTAATCCTGCCCTGAGTTTGTATTTAAAGTTGAAGAACAACAAACAACAGCTGCGTGTGTGGAGCTCATTTACATTTGCCTGGCGTCAGGCTGTGGCATACAGCAGGGCAGCGAGGGGCAAACAACTGGCTCAATGCTGTAGCATATATAGCAGCAACAGCAGGGATAATAATAATAATAGTTACATAAACAACAATAACAATAACAACAACAATGCCTGCCATGACAAACGCAATATAATAACAAAAAAAAAACGCACATCAAATTACGCATACGCCGTGTGGCACCTGAAAGAGAGCTAAACTGTGAAGAAGGCTCACCTGAGTTGGCCGTTGTTAGTTTATTGCTGCCACCAGGTGTGCCCTGGCCCATTGACGAGGTCGGCTTCTTGTGATGATGGTGATGATGATGATGATGCTTCTTCTTGTTCTTGATAATGATCTTACGCCGCAGCATCGATGGCGGCGGCAAATCCGTATTGGGCTCCAGCGGATGCGAATCGAGCGGCTTATCCAGCAGCATATCGCCAAAGATTTCGCGGCAATAGTTGGCAATCTTGGCCTGGAAATGAACAAAACGGATACAGTTAGTTTTGCCAACTGGCTGCTAACTGAAATTTGATGAACAGCCCGCAGGCAGCAGACTGAGTAACTAGCTTGCTAACTTTTACATTGGCAAGCACATGGTTCGCCCCTCTGTTAGTTACCTGTTCCCCATGGTAAATTTAGTTTATATAACTACTTTTAATGGTAAAACTTTAACCAGATGCCTATGCCTGTGTCTGCATCTGTCCCTCTGCCTGTGCCTGTGCACCTCTCTTCCCTGCCCTAAAAAAAGTTTGCCTTTGTTATTATCTCGTGGAGCTGAAGCATCAGGCAATTACCCCTCGAGTAGCTTCTGAGATTTACTCAACCACACGGCAGCTGGGCTGTTTAGGTGCGGGGCTGGCTGGGGAAGGCTGGGATACACACGTGAACGTGTAAGTTTTTCGGTTTGCCTTCTGACGGATTGTTTGCCTAATGCGAGCGAGCGGTAAGAGAGAGGAGCGTGTTTTGATTTTAGCTAAATACACGAAATCAGAAATAGTTTTCGTGTTAATGCGTGAAGTTTCCGTCGAAAAAGTCGTGTTGAGTCGTGTTTTAACTCGTGTTGAGTTTAAAGAAGACACGTTCTGTATTGTTTAAGTCGTGTTGAGTTCCGCCAGGCCTTAATTAGGCGTATTTAAAGTCGGGCTTTATCGTGTTAGGTGTTGTAGACTCGTGCTTAATGGCGATAAGCTATGTTAACTCGTGCTAAAGTCGTGCAGAGTAGACTTGGGACTTGAATAAGGCCAATTTGTGGTACCTACTTTAAAGTCCTGATTGAATTAGTATAAATACTGTTGAGTAGTGCTCAGTCGTGTTTAGTCGAGCCCTTTTCTACTTCTATCGTATTGCTTTAGCTCGCGCCCAGCTCTAGACGGGAATATGAGGTGGCTTTCGGCAACTGTTAGTTTAGGACAAGTTACTTTTTGACCGGCAGGCAGCACAGCTGTCGAAATGCGGGCGAAATACTTTTACAGCTCTTTTCCATTACACAGTTATCCTTTTTTACTTGCGCTCGCTCGACTTACCTGTTGCCTGGGATTGCAGTGATTCTCGAAGCTCAGTATCACAGGGAATTCGGATGTTTTAAATGCGCTCTCCGCGATGGCCTCCAGCACGTCCTTGGCAAAGATTTCGGGCACAAACGTGTAGCCGTGCACAATGACCGGCTCCTCGGTGCGTCCGTTCCAAAAGTCCAGCTCGACGCATCTGCACACAAAAGAGAACAATAACAAATTATCAAAGGCGATAAAATTAACTGGCGAAAATCCACAAAATGGCGGCGCATAAAAATTGTGTTTATCAGTCAAAGCAGCAGCCGCAGCAGCGGCAACAGTAACAAGAGTTGCGTTCTGCGGCACGCCGAAGCCCAAATACACTTTTAGATACATGGCTTAGAATTGATTTATACCGATTCTTTATTAGCAACCGATTATCCCTATGGGAACCATGTAATCTACTTAGTAGTCTTTTTAATGGGGGTTTTTCCGGATATGTTGAAAGAATATTGAAAATCTTGATTGCCCAATTTGGTTAAAGCAAAGATATCTTAAAAAACAAAAAAAAATTGTTGACCAATAGATTCCATGCTTCTTTAAAATATCTAGCAGCGGTTTTTCAGACGAACATGGCTATATACAGTCGACTTCTGATCAAGAATATACATATATACTCTATGGGGTCGGACATATCTCCTTCTATGCGTTACACATTTCATGCCAAAATTATGATACCCTCTGAGAGGGTATATCAACGTTTGCCATGTCCTTGCAACAACTTTTGCGTCAATAAATTTTGTGATGTGTGTATCATCAACGCCAAGCGCAAGCAGCAGCTGCGACTGTGATGGCTACGCAGACGGCGACGGTGACGGCGACGGTGACGGCGACGGCGACTGAAGCAGCGGCGTCAGCGGCAGCCATGTTGATGATGGCTGCAGTAAAAATGGCGAGCATGCAATTTCCGTTGTACTTAAAAGCAACGCAGCGGCAAAAATGGCACACACACACACACCTGACACATTGTATGGGTGAAGGCTAATACACACATACATATGTAACGGGGGATTGCAACAAAGTCACGGTCAGCATCCAAAATGTAGGCAACTGACCACGACCACACACACACACACACACACACACACGCACGCACGTGTATGTCCATTTAATTGCGTAATTAAAAGCTCCCACAACGCCCAAAATGGTGCCCCTCATCACTCACCTGCAGCCGGCTAGCAGACACTGCCTGTATATCTCCACGGACGATTTGCCAGTCAGCTGATGGCCCGTTAGGTAGGTATTGTGCGAGGAGTTGATGAAGTAGTGCGACATCGGCTGGTCCATATCATCGCAGAGATCAAGCTTGTTGGGCGCCATTATGGGATTATCATCGCTCATGAGATACCTAAAAAGAAATGGGAAACGGAGCAAGCGAGAGAGTGTGTAAGTTGAATTGTTAGTTACACTTTCAATTTCATTAAAGCTAAAAGCCACCTGGCTGCTAGTTTTAATGGTAAGCGGAGAGAGAGTAAGAATTAAATTATTTCATTATCACAGTTTCATTTCATTATCACTCTCATTAACTCTCTATCATTAATCAAAATAAACTCTCTCTTATGTCCTTTTCTGTGTGCTTTCAACTGTTCTCTATTGAGCTTTCAAGTCTCAAGCTTTTGTGTATGTTATCAATACGTTTGTTTTAGCTTAAAGCTTTACTGTGCTTTTGAAGGAACAAATTTGTGATACTAAAAATCCAAACTTTGTAAACTATGAACTTATGTTAATCGAGTTTTCGAGAAGACTATCATTTAAGATTATTAAAGATTCCGAGTTAAGCTTTTGTGGGGTTAGGCTTAAGTCAAGCATTATATTTTAATGGGCTTAGTGATAATATCAGTTGATATTACCGAAATCTTTCATGTGCTTAAGAAGCTGTAACCACTGAAATTAGTTGTTAAAGTTTAAAAAGTATACAAAGAGATTAACGGATGAGCTTTAATTTTCTTGTGAGATTGAATTAATTAATTTGTTCAATGTTGCACGAGCTTATAAAGCTATTAGTTTATGTAATGTGCTATTATAAATTTTTTAGGGCTTGCATAAATACCATTACTTTGCTTAAAGCTTTTAAAACGTATTTATATTTTTTTCTCAAACCTATTAATCGAGTGGTTTAACACGCAAACAAACATGCATATATTTTGTTATTGTTGTTGAATTTTTTGCATATGTTGCAAGTGATATGTGAAGGACACGGGGCCACGCGTCCTTAGCGCTTGCTGCTGCCTGAGACCCAGCAACAGTGAAGTGTGCGGTTGGCTGATGATGATGATGGTGACGATGATGAAGATGACGTCTTGGCCCCCGCGTCATATGCAAGCGGTACGCTCTTGTGGGGCCTGGAGTGCCGTCAAGTGACTCTAACAGGCGTTTGCCGAGCACACGATAAGCTGTCAGGCTCAGGCGCAGGGCCTAAGGACGTGCAGCGCCTCATTTAAGGGTTTTGTGGTAGGCCGAGCGCGGGATAGGTGGTTGGGTCTTACCTCAAAAAGCCATCCAAACTAAGCTGGCCCTTTTGTGCATTGAACTTGTTGGGCTCGTATTGCTGTATGAGCTCCTTGGCGCGTGCATTATTCGCATAAGGATAGAGTATCTCGTTGAGGCGTGGATCGCGTTGCGTCTTGTTGAGAAACTCCACCAGCTGTGCTATGGTCATGCATTTGCGCTTCGAGTTACCCACGCTGCAATAAATATAAGCAGGGATTAGCTGCAAATCTCCATTCAAGTGATTAGCTAAATGTACTCACATGCTGTCGAAGAGACGCTCCACCTCGGAGCGCTGCGTCAGATATTTGTACAAATTATAAAAGTCCTCAAATTGAAATTTCGACACCGATATGCTATCGACCTTTCCCGATGGCAAGCCGGTCACGTCCAGCGCCTTCTCGACACGTTTCCGATCCTCTTTATTTTGCGCAAAAAGTTTAATGATGCTAAAGTGGTCACGACCAGGACGACAACAGACGACGGCACCGACGTTCCAGGATGAAAAGGCGGGTTAAGGGGGTTCGTTGTCCAGCCAGACAATGCGGTTCGTGTTTTTGATGATGTCGTCGACGTCAGTGATGCATGAGCCACGTTTCGCCCACATTGAGTTGTTGCGGGAGAGACGGAGAGTGAGCCAGCGAGGCGAGGGGGTGGGGGGAGCGAGTGCAGGAGGAAAATGTGAAAAGAAATTGGCGTAAATTTCAATTTTCTAGGCAGCACTTAGCAAATATTGTCAAATACTTCAACACACAATGCACAAAAGCCAAAAACCCCAATCACAAGCCCAACCTCAAACCTGGCCCTTGGCGGGGTCAGGGTCGGGGTCACGGTCTGGTCCGGTTTGGGGTTTAGGTTTTTGAGGCACGGGCTATGCTACTGTGGCAATTACTTTTTCACTGGGATGCGTCCGCTTTTGTCCACCTGCAGACAGAGTTTTGTGTGCGCCTTCTGCAGGAACATAATCGCCGAGCCATTCAGCTGGGACAGGCTATAGGCCAGCTTGATGAGGCCATCCGTCCAGATCTGGAAGAACACAATACAAGCAAACGGGCTAAGGTCAGCATACAGAGTAGTGTATGGAAGTGTAACATGAGCCAAGCAAATAAATCAATTGAATTCAATAAAACTCAAAAGAGAGCTCAATAGTTCAAGGAGTTCAGTCAGTTAGAAGTGAAAGATTGCCAATGAAAGGTTTCTCGATGTGCCTTACGCTTATAATTGAATTTATTTTAGGAAAGAGGACAGCGTTCGGACGTACTTGGAAAGAGCAGATAGAATGTATAGAAGATGGGCATTATACAAATTCACAAATTTGGCTGCAAAGCAAAAACAAAGTTTTAGTACTTTTAGTTCATTCACGATTTGAACCGATTTGACTCGCCTTAAGAATCGATTAATGAACCTGGGTTCTAGAAAAAGAAAAATGCAATTTTTGATATTCATTATTATAGTTTATCGAAATTATAATATTTTCCATATGCAAAGTAATGAAAAATTTCTTTAAAAGTTTGCATTGACAACATTAAATGTCCAAAAATAATTATTTTATTTCAGATCATTTATGGAAGAAAAATGGTTTGCTTCAGCTTTTTTTTTATCTGCGATTTGCATTTGATGTATGGTAAGAAGTCGATAATTTCGACTTTGAATAAATCAATTTAAAACAACTTGAAGCACTTAGAAAATTTTGTTTTATATATCTGGTAAAAATGATTGATCTTTCGAATCGAAACGGGCCATAATGTTCTAAAGTTCCTTTTACTATATTTATTGGCTTACATGTTTTCAGTTTTGGCCTAACATGTTATTGGTTATGAACTGAGTTTGTATAGTTCCACAATTGGATAGTTTGCTTTATGTGTTGAATGATTCTAATTGCATTTCCTGGCAGACATGTCTACAAAGCACATTTATGTGCATTGCCTTTGTTAGACGCTTTTCAAATAATTAAACAAAACGCCATCTCTGCCCTCCGCTTCCAGTTACCGCAACATGTATGCCAAAAGCTGCATGTTTATTTATTTTGTGCGGATTATATTTGTGTGCCCCGAAATTCCGAAAAAGTTTATGAAATTTTGGCATTCGATGTTGTTTATAGGAGCGCTTGCGACGCGTGCCAAAAATAATAACAATAACATGAATGCACGCACATGCCGCGCTGCTAGCTCCGTCGTCCGGGTCCGAGTCCGTGTCCGTGTCCGGCTCTGACTGTGCCCCGGATAGACGAGCCCGTGATAAAATATAGAACATTGATTTTGACCGACCAGCAGAAGGCTGGCAGCTCCAGCAAGAGCAAGGTCACCTCTGTGTGCGGGGCGGGGCATTGTGGGTTTATATGGGACTTCGATTCTGAAACGTATTTGGACTGTGTCCAGTCAGACATTGTAAAGGCGTGGCACACCAGCCCTTATGTTAAATCAATAAAATGTGTTCGACAGTCACTTATATTTTTACGCGCATTCGACAAACGGCTAAAAATAGCCCCAGCAACTGGCGACAGGTGTGTCCCAACGTATCCTAATGACTAGCACTGCGTGTGTGTGCGTCTGGGTGGATAGATTAAGGTGCTTGGACTGAGAATTATTTAGGGGCCTGTTCCAAATTTCTTATACTGTAAAATCGATTTGGTTTTGTTTTTATGAATGTATTATACAAAATCAAATACACTACAGATTTTAAATGTTTAGGAATTTAAGATGGAAGTGTTTAAGAATTTTGATTTGATTTGAATATAACGTAGTTTTATAAATACTTTAAGTGATGGTTTTGGCAACCTTTCCATATTTAAAATAAATAATAAAATAAACAGTGAAAATCATTTTATTTAATATTTTGTTATATATTTATTTTTGGCAAAATATTAAATAAAATTGTTTTCACTGTTTATTTTAACAAACCCGGACCTCGAGCCAGCCAACAAATATTATAAATATATGAAGATATTTAGTAATTAGTTCAATGAAAGATATACGATCCAGTTTCCCTTTCACAATAACAAAACTTTACCGATTCATGTGTCAAATCACAACATTTCTATATAATTGAGGGTTTTATAAACCCAAAATTATAAAAGAAACTGTCATTTTATTTAAAACGTCATTGTTTATTGTTGGGGTAACTATGATTTTATGATTTTTGCTGTTTCTCTTTTAAAGTTTTTATAATAATATAAATAGTTTAAGAACATACCATTGTATATTGTACATTGTAAACTAATAAAAGAAATTAAATAAAAATAATAATATTTTTAACTTAGCTAATTTTGAAACTGTCTCGAATTGCAAACGAATTTGGAATTCGGAATATGCCTGCTTATTAACAATTTTGCGCGCGCGACCCACTTCCCAATTCCCAAATGATTTTTTAGGTATGTGTGTGTCTGTTTGTGTGACCCACTTTTTCGGTCCCAAATAGCTTTTGATGCCCCTTCAATGCTCGCATTTCAATTGTCGTCAAGTTGTCAATTGGCCATAATGAGCAGCTGTTGGCATTGGAGCATTGCCAGGAATGAACGACCAGCACCGGCACCCCTCCGCCTTCCGGCCGGCATACCCCTTTCAGCTTACCTGGGCAATGTCCCGTCGTGTGCAGCAGAAGTTGACAAATGTCATGTTGACAAAATCAGAGCCATGGCAAATGGTGACGGTTTTCTCTTCGAGCGTGTCCTGCGGTCCCATCGTCACAATCTGGCGCAGCTTGGAGTCCTGCAAAGAGACGCAAGACAAAGGCAAACGGGCAATGATTATTATTAATTACCAAGCATAAAGCACGCCCCCAAAATGAAGTTTTATGGCTCGTGGCCACTCTCGTAAATCGAAGCCATATCCTTAGCCCTAATCCAGTGAGTGCGCCGACAAAACTCATTTGGCTGCTCGTAAATCAAATAACAGGGCAATGGGATGACCAGACAGCCAGACAACTGGACTACTCTAAGGCGCCATAATTCAATTAAATATCACAAAATGGATTTACGAGAGGTGCGGAACACAACTGCCGAGGAACGCGCCACACTGGACACACCCAGCAAATCAACCCAGTAAAAAGAAGCAAAGCGTCCAGAAAAGTCTAACAAGGATATGGAAGAACAGCTTCGAGTCACCGAATACTCAATGCACTGGATATCATGTAATTCTTTTGAATAACGAAATAAATATCGAAGTCTAACTATTGACAATAACTCTCAATAAGTTTTTTTACAATAATTTAGTAAAGATTTTGGTTTTTTTCTTGTCTATGTTTTGGTTAAAAGCTCTTATGATACTTGATTTTAAAGCTATAAATTTTATTAGTCAAATTGCATAACCAAACAAATTTTTCACGATTTGTGTCTGTATAATTTTAATTAATTAAATTGCCTAATTTTAATTACTTTTAACAAACAAAATGTTATTTCTATGATTCAGACAAACTCATTTATAAAATTCATACAAAAAATACTCCTGAGACGTATTTCACGTGTTTTGTTCAATCCATCAGCTTGGGCGGAAATTGGATTAATACATGTTTTAATGATTATGGAAAATTTTGTTTTGTTTTTTATTGAATCGAGCTTATTTTCAAATATCTAGGTAGAATGTCATTTGAAATGTGATTAAACTGTTTGCGAAAAATCAACTGGGTGTAAATGGGGTGTGGAAAAGTTTGCTCAAACGTCACACTTTTCGTGACATGATCAAAATACCCTCTGCAAGAGTATATAAACCCAACTAGGTTAAATGTAAATCAGCCCGATAGCCAGATAATCACGCAACATGTTCTACAAAAGTGAAATAGGGAGAGATGGAGATAGAGATTGAGAAAGAGAGGGAGGGAGGGAGGTAGGGAAGAGACGGGGAAAAGAGTGACAGGACAAGCGACTGTTTGGCGAGACAAGCGACGGTATTAGTTTTGGCTTTGTTGTCAGTTTAGCAGCTGTCCCCGTCCGCCGTCTGTTGCACTGGCTCTGAGTGGCAGTTGCACCGACTGAGTGGCGGTTGCTGTGGCAGTGTCTTATCTGCTGCAAGCTGTGGACTTCATTGTTGTCGCCCCGCTGGGCGTTTAATGACAAATCCAAAATCAGCTTCAGGATTATCAGTCCCTTTAAAATGCATGACACACATACACTCACATGAAACGGGCGGGGCTAGGGGCTGTGTGTTGGCAGCAGCATGAATTTGGCATTAACTTTGGGGCAAGTCATGTCCTGATATTTACAGTAAGCCAAACTGTCCCTGTGTGTGGGCTTATGTGCCTGTCAGCCCTCCCGTAGCGCTGCCGACTTTAGGACATTTGACAAACTGCTGGATAACTACGGACAAATGCCACTGGCAAATATGTGGTGTGTGCTTTGCTTATGATGAGTATTTAGATGTTCGAGCTCCCCTTATTGGACCATATCAAGCAAATAATTTCAATATTACCCCAATGCAACTACTAAGCATGTAAGCAGCACACTGCAAGTCAATGTTGAATATACAAGGCTTTTAAATATATGCATTGATGCAAACACAAATTAATATTTAGCTGTGCTCAAGCAAAATGATGTTAAATGGACACAAAATGCAAATACTCTGGAGAAACACTCACAATCTGACTGACAGCCGTTAAATCAAAGGATTGAAAGGAGCTAAAAAACAACTTCGTGAATTTAACTAAGGTTATCAGAGCATAAAAATAAAACTTGGAAATTTAAGAAAAAAAAGGAGAGTAAATACTTATTTATGTAAGCTTTAAAGTAGTATATGCAACACAATAAATCGAAGATATGCGTATGGATCCTATTGGAAAATAAATTAAATATAATGTAAGCTTATCTTGAGCACTCCTCCAGATTTGTGAGAATAGTAAAGCTCGTAAATTTGTAGTAAAATTAAACGCCTGTAGCAAGTCTTTATGTTTTACATTAAAGATCCATTTTTGGTGAAATAAAAAAAAGCTTTTCAGCTGAGCAGAGACAGGTTACGGACTGAACTCGACCTTGACCTTAGGTGGCCCAGCCAGCAATTGGATTGAATTCCCTATTAGATGGCATCAATAACTCGACACTGCATAACGGACTTTGGCTGCCGTCAAAGGCGATTACAATCCGCTCGGCTGTAGCCCAATCGAAGGCCAGCGCAGAACAGGTGAAAGCAGCTTGAATGCAAAATGGAGCCAATAATGAGCTCTTGCCGTCCAAGTATGTTCTTAACCCTTGATCCTACGGTCATGCGTCCATTGAGCAAAAGGCACTTTTTGACTTTTGCAGTAAGCTGATTGACACACCACGAGGGGGTGCTTGACGGGCAGCTGCTCAACGGCCATCACGTGGCAGGCTGTGGCAATTAAAGCGTCATTCACTTTAACATCGGCCTGGCGGGCGCTCGCTTGGCGCTGGGCCATAAAAAGGCAATGAAAACTGCCTCTTGCTGCCTGTTTACCCCACGAGTGCTTTTCGCGGGTCTTAACTGCGCCGCCGTTAGAGCGTCATAATTTGCTTTTAACTAAAAACTAAATCGAGCCAATTTGTCGTCCTGAATAATGTAACAGCCAGGCAAGGAGAGAGAGGGAGCGAGGGAGAGAGTGTGGCACAGGTACAGCTGGAGGATTTTCGTCCTTGCCAGGATATTTCACGGGCACTGTAGGAAGCGTGAAGCGGAAATGACTATGGTGATTATCTTAATTGCTTCACACGCTCCTCCTAAAGTTTTATTTGGGTAGGTTCTACTTAGCCTGTATCTGTACTGGAACCGGCAAATCCTATGGCTCAGGCTCGGTATTTAAATGTTAAGAGCCCTCATTAGCTAACTAGACATGGAAAGGGTTGCTCAGGCCCGACTCTTATAATTTTACGACGGTTCCACTGCCGCATTTTATTACTAATTTACTAATTGTTTTAATGAAATAAAGCATATATATATATTAATGTCCCGATATATTTCGTCATATTTTCATTTCGTTTTGACATTTTGCTTGTCGTGTAGAAAAATGTTACAAAATTATTGAACAGAGAAATTTTAAAAAAAATTGTTTTATTCAAAGTCCACCAAAGTGCATCGCAACAAAATGCGTAAACAGCAATCAGCCCCTCTTTCGCAAGGAGAACCCACCCAGAAGATACCGAATTTTGCCCAGTTAACTCCCTACGATGTAATGCGAATGCAAAACTGCAAAGGCTACAAATTTCGAAAGAGTGAAATGTATCCAAGCATCAGGCCGCCAGTATCCCAGTGTAATCCCAACAAAACGATTGCTTGGTTTTCAAAAACGATGGATGCTAACGGCTGTGGATGCGTGGATCCTCAATTGTTGAATCGAAAATATCAAAGTTCAACTGTGGAAAAAGCAGAGCTCGTGTCGAAAAATGTTTTAACTAGCAGAGGCAAAAATATGTTTCACCTATGCAAAATGAACAATCAGCGAAGAGAGCACGAACAAAATACCCCCGAAAGGCGTATCAATAATATGCTTGACTGGAGCAAAGTGACACCTTACGATTTCATGCGAATGCAGAACTGCAAGACGTTCAAGGTTCTCAAGTGCGAGACTTATCCCAGCATCAAGCCGCCAATATCCCAGTGCAGTACTGCGCAGACAGCTGAGTGGTTAGCCGATGTGGTTGAGGACGCTGGCTGCGGACGATACTTTGATATGGAGCAGGACGATGTCATGGACGTCTGGAAAGAAAGCCCAAATAAGCAGACGCTGAGCTACTACGGGGTGGCCTCGGCCATGCCCCAACCGGAGGCAGCCTTGTTCAACCGGGTGATCGCAAAATCTCTCGAAAAGGCAACCGCAGTGAAGCCTGCATCGCGCAAGCCCGAGGCCACAAAGCCGCAGATCATGCCATATACCTCATGGCCCTGTGGGAAATTTGTGCTCAATCGTCAGTTGCTGCAGGCAAAAGTCACCAAAATGCCTACAGTACAAAGAAAACTGGCTCCAACCGAGGCATTCACCATGCTGCACTGCCCCCATCCGACAGAAACTGAGCACCCGTTTCTCGAAAGCCAACCCAAAGTTCCGTTAACAAGTTCCCTCGATATGGACCGACCTGTTCCAAGGCCCAAGCACGGTCTTAGGCGCAAACACAAATATTGCGAATTGCAATGTCATATTCCCGAGAATAAATGCACGGACTATGAACGGAGAAAATACAAACAAGATGCCAAGCCCATTGATGAGGCCTTTGCGAAGGAGATGGAAGAGATGGAGAAAGGAGAACCCGAGCCTAGAAACTACGATGAGCTATACTCACACCTAGTGACATGCTTTGAAACTGAGGACAAGGACAAGGACAAGGACCCACTGTGTGATTATTATGAAAAGTGCTGTATCCCACCCCCGAAATATGCTCCGGAGGTTCCCAGTGGTCAAGGAGGCTCGCGTGTACCCGAAAGAGGTGTTCACCGTCGCCCTCCCCAAGTCGGTCGCCCCCCACATGATGTTGGTCCTGAAAAACCAGTGGGGCCTGAGCCACAAATACCCAAACCACCCTCGATAGTGGGCGGTGAAACTGGCGATGGAACGCAGCCAGAGCCTCAAAAAGACAAGCCAGTTAAAGAAAAACCAGCCAAGGAAAAACCAATCAAAGTAAAACCAGTCAAAGAAAAACCTATTAAAGAAAAACCCGTCGAAGATAAAGAGGAAATCCCAAAAAAAGAAAAACCAGTTAAGGAAAAACCTGCCGAAAAGCCTGTTGACACCTCGGAAGCAGACCTCCCCCCTGCAGAAAAGAAACCCGATAGAGATGGAAGGTCACAGAGGCCAGAAAAACCTTTAAAAAAACGACCTCCCCTAAAAACGCCCGAAATAGTACCTGAAGAAGGGCCGCCACCAGAACCCGTTCCAAGTGAAAGCCCTATGCCTGAAATGCCTAATCAGCCGAGATGGCCTAGAAGACAAACTGAATTAAGAAAACCACCCAAAAAGCACCCAAAACGTCCTAAAAAACCCAAACTTGCTGCACCACCTGCACCTACAGATCCGTGTGAGCCGGCCAAAGACTGTCCCTGTGAAATTTGCGAATTCATGAAACGGCGACAGAAGGAGTCGGACACCCCACTAATTCGTCAACTAAAGCAGGAAGAGAAGCGGCGGCAGCTGCGGGATTACTACAAACGGATGTGCCATCGCGAATATCTCAAATGGCGGAAGCCCGAGTACCGCGCTCCCCAGCACAAGTGCGATGGCATTGTGTGCGACAATATCTTCTGTCGGAACCCCAAATTAGGGGAGTACTGCGAGTGCTTGGATGCCATGCAGAAGCTGCAAAAGTTGCTTGGGCCCAAACATCGTATTGTGAAGAATGAGCTGATATTCAATGTAGAGGATCTGAGGCGTCGCATATGTAGGCGTTTTTGTGACTGCCTTTAGAGATCATCCTCAATGAAAGAATATGCATAGGCAATTTGTGCCTGTCTAAGAAGTGGGTGTCTAGCAGAATTGCGCAGAATTGCGAACTGGAGTAACTTAGATATTTTCTTGGTGTTAACTTGAAAGTGTGCCTGATATGTTTCGATCCCATTGAGTAAATATGCATGTTGTTTTCCTTTTGCCAAAAAACCCATAGATGAGTTGTTTAAGTCCTGAGTATGTGCTACTGTTGTTGTTTCAGAATATATAAGTAGTAGAATTATATGACAGGTCGGAATTTGGGCCTATAGCTAAAGATAATAATTTCTTGCATTTAGTAGGCCAAGGGCTTAATGCTTGTGGATATTATATTTGTCTCGACTGTTAGATGTTCAGTTTCATGTCTAGAATAGTTTAAATCGAATCAACCCAAAATTTAAGTAATGTACTAATTGTGGAAAATTGATATTTTCAAATTTCAGATTTTATAGTGCGATCAATTTTATTATGAAAACTAGAATGTCGAAAGTGCAAGGAAAACAATCGAAAAGAATACTTGACTCCTCTTACGTAACTCCATATGATTTGATTAGGATTCGGAACTGCAAGACCTTTAGCTATTGTAAGGACGAAGGTTATCCTTCCATCAGGCCGCCAATATCTCGGTGTGGTTCTGAGCTTTCAAGACAATGGCTATCAGAAGCAGCTGAGAAAAGCTGCTGGGAACGACCTGTTAACATGGAGACAGACGATATCGTTGAGGTCTGGAAACATATCCCGTATAAGGACACACTGAGCTACTACGGCGTTGGTGCCGGAATTCAAAGCCCAGAAGCAGTTGTTTTTAACCAGGTGATTTTGAAATGCCTTGATGATGTCAAACCGGAAGCGGCTGCAGTGAAGATACCGAGAAAGACGCCTATTCCAGCCAAACCACAAAAAAACCAGACGCATGGAACAAATCCTTGGGGAGCCTTGGTCTTAAATCGTCAGTTGTTGAGTTCGAAAATTAATCAAATGCCCGTAGTGCAAAGAAAGGTATATCCAATGAATGTAGGCTTCTGGCTACACGGTCCCAGGCCAACTATGCCCGAGTACCCGTTTCTTGAGAGCCAACCCAAGGTACCTCTTACAAGCGCCCTTGACATGGAACAACCAGCTCCGAAGCGCAAACACGGTCTCAGGCGCAAGCATATGTACTGTGAATTCCCATGTAATATCGAAGAGAATATGTGCACGGATTACGAATGGCAGAAATATAAAGAAGATCCTAAGCCATATGAAGTGGCCTTTGAGAACGAGATGGCACAGGTGGAAGAAGAAAAAATATTCGAGCCGAGGAACTACGACGAATTATACTCGGAACTTCTCACCTGCTTTGAGCAAGACACCAACGCAGACTCTATCCGTGATCTTTACAATAAGTGCTGTAAGGGAATCTCGGAGCATGGCCAAGATGATCTTGAGGGTGGTCCTCATGGTGGAGGTAATCGAGGACGTAGACATGAAGATGAAGATGCTGGCGAAGGTTCCGATTTTGGTTCAGATGGGAAAACGGCTGGTGAAAACGAAGGAAAAAGGAAAGGTAAAGGTGAACGAAAAGGAAAAGATAAGGGTGAACGGGGTGGTAAAAGTAAAGCAGGAGGCAAGGGTGGAGCGGGTGAGAAGGGAATAAAGGAACATGTACCTAGGCAGAATTTAATGGTACCTGACGGAGAAGGTTCAATGCCTGATGGCGCAGAAAATAAATTGTTCGAGAAAATAGATGGTGGATCAGATTCATCACTTTTGCGCAAGGAAAAGGTACCAAAAATTGAAAAACAACGTAAAAAAACAAACCGAAGAAATTCTCGTGGGCTAACCAAAAAACCGTATGCTGGTAAAAAAAAAAGTTGCACCAGAGTTAGCAAAACCGAGGTGCCAAAAGAATGTCCCTGTGAAATTTGCAAGCTTATGAACCGTCAAGATGAGCCGGACACCCCATTCATTCGTCAAATGAAGCAGGAAGAGAAACGTCGCCAGAACCGGGATTACTACAAACAGATGTGCCATCGCGAATATCTCAAGTGGCGGAAGCCCGAGTACCACGCTCCCCAGCACAAGTCCGATGGGATTGTTTGCGACAATAACTTCTGTCAGAACCCCAAGTTAGGGGAGTACTGCGAGTGCTTGGATGCCATGCAGAAGCTGCAAAAGTTGCTTGGGCCCAAACATCGCATTGTGAAGAATGAGCTGATGTTCAATGTAGAGGATCTGAAGCGTCGTATATGTAGGCATTTATGCGATTGTCTTAAGTAAGAAGCCAAATCAAATGAATTTAGGCCCATTTACGAAATATAATTGTAAACTGGTGTGACCAAGAGATTATCTCAGTGTGATAGATAACTCTTTTTTGTGATTCAATAAAATAAACATGTTTTTGACGGTTGGATAGAAAATGTTGTCTTATCTTATAAAATGTACTGTAGCAGACGTATGCAACTACATTTGACCATTTACATCAAAGATAATTTAAACGATACTCAGGGTAATACTCGCCTTCCGGTAATATGAAGTGGAGAAGGCAAAATAGCTGAACAATAAAAATTGTATCGATTACTTGGAAACGGGGCAAGTTATCGATTATCGGAAACAAACTCGTACTGCCGGGTCAATTTGAGGACCCACGTTCTATTTCAATTCTCCAGCTCATATAGGTTCTGAAATCCTTGCTTTCATACATACGGACGATCGGACATGACTAGGTCGACTCGACCGTTGATGCTGATCAAGAATATATATACTTTACGGGGTCGGAGATGCTTGCTCTGCTTGTTACACACATATGCACATATACATTCTACCCTTATTACCCATTTTTAATGGGTTCATTGAACACATCTATAGCGAATTTAGATGCTGTTGTGTTTTTATACCCTTGCAGAGGGTAATTTAATTTTGTCGTGAAATGTGTAACGCATAGAAGGAGACATCTCCGACCCCATAAAGTATATATATTCTTGATCAGTATCAACAGCCGAGTTGATATAGCCATGTCCGTCTGTCCGTCTGTCTGTTTCTATGCGAACTAGTCTCTCAGTTTTAAAGCTATCTTTATGAAACTTTGCAGAATTCCCTCTTTCTGTTGCACGCAGTTCATATGTCAAAACCAGCTGGATCGGACCACTATATCATATAGCTGCCATAGGAACGATCGGTCGAAAAGTAGGTTCTTGTATGAAAAACATTTTTGTTTATAAAGTTATCTTTACTAAACTTGGTATTTATTAGTTTTACTACGTTCCCCATATATATGTATGGAAAATTTTTATGTTTTTCAAGATATCTTGACCAAACTCGGTACTTATTAGTTTAACTAAGCTCCCCATATATATGCAAAATTCTTTTAAGATCGGACAACTATATCATATAGCTGCCATAGGAACGATCGGTCGAAAATTAAGTTTTTGCATGGAACATTTTTATGTTTTTCAAGATATCTTGACCAAACTCGGTATTTATTAGTTTTACTATGCTCCCTCCACTTATGCAAAATCTTATTCACATCGGGCTACTATATCATATAGCTGCCATAGGAACGATCGGTCGAAAATTAAGTTGTTGTATGGAAACCTGTTTTGTTTTTCAAGATATCTTAACCATACTCGGCATTAACTATTTTCCCTGTTCTTCTTAGATACGGGCAAAGCACTATGAGCATTTTGAAAAGGTTGGGTCTGCAAGGGTATTAAATCTTCGGTGTGCCGAAGATAGCACTTCTTTCTCTTCAGAAAAACGCATGGCCTACCTTAACATAATATTATTTCCTGGGGTAAAATATATAAGATTACAGTTCAGTATAAGAGAAGTTTTGAAGCGAATTCATCAAAATTTTTATGGTAGTAGAAAATATTAGCATGTTTTAATAGATTTTGTGTATTGACTTTGTTTACAATAAAATCAAGATTTATATAAATATGCGAAGACAAGAAATACTGAATAGGAACATGGACCAGCCAACTACGTATGATGTTTTACGATTGCAAAACTGCAAGGATTATAAATTTCGGAAGGGTGAAATCTACCCAAGCATTAACCCTCCAGTGGCTTCATGTGGAAATGACCTGACAAGTAGGTGGTTGTCTAATTTTGTTAAGGAAACCGGCTGTGGGATCCTTGATCCGGAAATTTTAAAAAACCTCATCAAAAGAGCATATGACAAGAAAAATGTTACTAAGTCCACTCAAAAAGGGATTGACAATCCCCGCGCAGCACGCAGATACCTTAACCGGCCAGTAGAACTTTCTCACAGGAAACTAGACTATAGCCAGCTCACGCCCTATGATTTGATGCGGATGCTAAACTGCAAGATGTCAAAAGTTCAGGAATGGGAGACTTATCCCAGCATCAGACCTGCAGTATCCCATTGTAGTGGTGCACTGACTGCTCAATGGTTGGCCGATGCTGTGAGAGATAGTGACTGTGGTCGCTCATTTGACATGGAACAAGATGATATTGTGGAGGTCTGGAAGCAAAGCCCAAATAAGGACACATTGGGCTATTACGGCGTAGGCTCACATATACACAAGCCGGAGGCGGTTGTATTTAATCAGCTCATTTCGGAATGCCTTAAAAAGGTTATGCCGGAACCAACCAAGAATAAGCTACAAAAAGGAACAACCATTCCACCGAAGAGTGATGAGAATGTGAAGGAACCCTCTAAAAAAGATGTTCTTAATCGTCCATTGCTAAAGTCAAAAGTTGATAGAATGCCCACTGTACAGGAAGCGCTAGATGCGAGCAAGGCACTTACCTGGCTGCATTGCCCCCGCCTCCTGGAAGAAAAGTACCCATTCCTCAAAGGTAAGCCCCACGTCAGACCTCAAGACGCCATCGGGATAAAAAAATTTGTTCCGAAACCTAAGCATGGACTCAGGCGAAAGTATCCGATCTGCAAATTGCAATGTGTTCTTCCCGATAATGCATGCACGGAATACGAATACAGAAAAGATCCCAAGTCGTATGAAGAGTTTTGCCGGAAGGAGATGGAACGGTTGAAGGCTGAATGCGAGGAAGAATTCTCAGAGCCGAGAAATTACCCGGAGTTGTATCCACGTTTAGTTACATGCTTTGAAAAAAGGCCACCAATCGAATCCCGAATGCCTAAAAAACCAAGCTCGAAGTCGGAGGGCCACCGCTTGTCTAATGAAAAGACTGGTGGTAAAGGTGTTGGTGATGGAGGTGTTGGTGATGGAGGTGTTGGTGGTGGAGGTGTTGGTGGTGGAGGTGTTGGTGGTGGAGGTGTTGGTGGTGGAGGTGTTGGTGGTGGAGGTGTTGGTGGTGGAGGTGTTGGTGGTGAAGGTGGAGGTGGTGGAGGTGTTGGTGGTGGAGATGTTGCCCAACACAAATATACAAAGCGTGATGATGGAAAGGATAAGGATACGAAACCCAAAACCGCTACGAAAAAAACTCCACCAGCAAAAATCCATCGACCGAAAAAAATATTCGACGGTCTAGATAGGCCCAGTGAGAAGTCCATAACAACCGATAACGAAGATATAACTCCTTATAGACAAAGGATCAAAAGTTCAACTGAAGCAAATAGACGCTCCAAACGCAGATGGCGACAAAAGCCAAAAAAGGACAGCAATGTCCTTGAAACGGGCACGGCCAAGGAATGCGCCTGTGAGTTATGTCATTTCATGAAAAGTCGAGAACGCGAGCGAGACTCTCCGCTCATTCAACAATTGAAAAAGGAACAGAAGCGGCGGGAGCTCCTGGCTTACTATAAGGGCATGTGCCTTCGTGAGCAAATGAAGTGTCGTAGTCCCAAGTACCCAGCTCCGCAGCACAAGTGCGATGCCATTGAGTGCGACGACAGCTTCTGTAGCAACCAACAATTTGGGGAGTATTGCGATTGCCTGAATGCTATGCAACATCTGCAAAACTTGCTGGACCCCAAATCTTAAGGATCGCATTTGCCAGCGCATCTGCGGGTGTCTGTAGCTGCAAAGCAATAAGGGAACAGACCAACCCGGATATGTTGACAACTGGCGCGTTCCATATGGATTTTTAAAGTTGTTTATAATAAATATATTAATTAATCTTTAACCAATTGTGGAAGCGGAGTATAAGAGATTCTTTAAATTTTCGGATTCTTACAGATTTATAGATCGTCTGCTTTTCGGACGTTCAAAATATATATATTCATTGAAAATATATGCAGCCTTTCGCTCGATTTGCGGCTAGAGCACTATTGTTTTCTTTCAAGTTCGTTCTGTTTAAATACGCTGTTGGGAATTTAAGACCCTTTAATGGGGTATCTGACCCCACTAATTGTACATATTTTTTTTAACATGCATAAAAAACCGTGTAAATCAATCTGGGACCTGTATGTTAAGAAGTACAAGTGCGTTGTGGCTGGGTAGAGGGTATCTTCTGGTCGAGCCCTATTATATCAAATCGCATCGTTTTGACGGATTCTTCCTTCATTCATAGATTTTAAAGTTTTGTACAGAAGTTATAGACAATTCAACCAATTGTAGGGTGCGGAAAGGGTTTCAATTGAAGGATCCTGGCAGATTAATGTCTGTGAACAGCGCCTACTGAAATACTTCGTAAGTTCCTCGGCCTATTTTAATTGCCAGTTTTTTTTTCAGTTTCCAAAATATTTTCAGCTGAATACACCCCAAAATTTTAATTATGTTTTATAGAAATAACCGATTTTATAGATTATACTTCTTGACTTAAAAGTAATTTATTTTAAAACCTGAATCTTTTGAATGCGTAAACGGCTTGTAGACCACCTCGATCCCTGCGAAGTTGTGCTAATTCAGAACGGCAACACCTTTGCGTTTTGTAAGGATGATATCTATCGTACCATCCACCCGCCTGTCTGTCGGTGTAATTCTGAGCTCACATATAAAAGGCTTTCTAATGCGATTAACCATACCGGCTGTAGACCCGTTAAGCCCCGAATAATACAAAAAATGCAACAAAGTCGAAATGAGGAGAAAATAAAACAGCTTAAAAGGCCCCTCCATTATGACAAGCACTCCACCAAATATGTGATGCGAACACTCAAGCACAAGGCAGCCAATTTTCAGAAATGGCAACCCTATCCCATCATCAGACTTCCAAAATCCGCGTGGACTTGTGGGTTGACAGCAGCGAATTTGGGCAAGCATGATGACCGTCAGAGGCTGTTTGACATGGAACAAGCTGATATCATGGAGGTTTGGAGGCGAATTCCAAATAAAGATACGTTGGGCTATTACGGCATAGGCTCAGACGTTCCCAAGCCGGAAGCGGTCGACTTTAATCATGTGATTGCAAAATGCTTAAGGAAGGTTAATCCGAATCAAAGCCTATAAAGCGAATCAAAGCATCACAAATTAATGTTCCCAAACAAAGCCAAGCCATTAGAAGTGCAATTATTGGAGTTCATAGCTGAGCTTAGAGATATATCCCAAAGAGGAGATGCTAAATTGAGTTCATCTTCTGAAATACGTGTCGATCAAAAAGGAAACAAGCTGATACTACGTCGATCATGAACTGTCCCGTGAGATGTCATTTCATAATTGCCTGACTGCCATGCAATATCTGTAAAAGTCGCGGGGCTCTAAGTATCGTTTGCGGATAATCAGCATCTTTTTAACGCCAAAAATCTTAAGGATTGCATATGCTAGCGCCTCTCTGGTTAAGTTCAGGCCAAACCGGATAAAAAAAGAACTGATGTGGTCACTTGGCGCGTTCCTCATGAAGTTTAGGTCTTGTTTTAAATATATGTATTTTTGAATCTTTAATCAATTGGTGGAGTGGGGGAAGCATACGAGATTCCTTACTTTTAAGGGATCGTACTTTAATTTAAAAGATCGTCTGCTTTTTAGAGCGACGAAATTGAGCCTTCCGGACGTGCGTTCTGTCAAAGTCCTTTTATATTGAAATTCATTGAAAGTGGGTAAATGTCGTATTTACCCGCTGGATTCAGGGTATCTCCTAGTCGGGCACTCTCCACCAGCCAATTGGCCGGTTCGTTCTGTTTCAGAAGCTCACGGGTTTTAAGGCTATGTAAGGGGTAATTATAATTGATTCGCAGCGAGAACACTTACATTTCTTATTGTGTCGCATCGCCTTTGCTTTTATAACACAAAGACCAAATTCTACCAATTTGAGGGTTTAAAGTGTAAACATTGAAGGATCATAGAATATATATGTCGGCAAGCAGCGCCTACTTAAATACTTTGTAAATTCCCTAGACTAATTCAATTGCCAGTTCTATTTCACTTTTAAAAACATTTTTACCTGAATATATCCCAAAATTTTCGTTATATTGTATTGATTTTATACGTTTTTATATCTTGACTTATTTTTAATTTTTATCAAATTAAGATACCTCAGAATGCACAAACAGCATATGGACCACCTCACTCCCTACGATGTCATGCAAATTCAGAACTGCAAGACATTTGTATTCCGTAAGGGTGAATTATATCCCACCATTATACCTCCAGTGTCTCGGTATAATTCTGATCTCACAGCCGAATGGCTCTCAAACGCGATCAACGATTCCGGCTGTGGACCCGTTGAGCCTCGAGCATTACAAAAATTGCAACAAAGTCGAAATGACAAAATAAATAATCAAATGACCCACGATTATGGCCAGCACTCCACCGAAGATATGATGCGAATGCTCAAATACAAGGCAGCCAACTTTCAGCAATGGGAGAATTATCCCAGTATCAGGCCTCCAATATCTCCGTGTAGTCCTGAGATGTTGGATGGGAATGTTGGGGACTATGACAGTCAGCGGCTATTTGACATGGAACAGGATGATATCATGGAGGTATGGAGGCAAAGCCCCAATAAGGATACGTTGGGCTATTACGGCATAGGCTCAGACGTTCACAAACCGGAAGCGGTCGACTTTAATCAGGTGATTGAAAAATGCCTAAATAAGGTTAATCCCCAGCTGGCCAAGGAAAAGTCAAAGACCAAAACTACGCCACTTGCGCAACCGATGGAACCTCAAGGAACATATGTACTTAATCGTCAGATGCTTAAATCTAAAATTGATAAAATGATCCCTGTGCATGAGACACTTAGTGCAAGCAAAGCACTCGACTGGGTGCATTGTGCCCATCCATTTGGAGGCAAGCTGCTACCGTTCCAAAGTGAGCCGAAGATCGGTCTTAAAGCCGCCCTCGACATGGAGCGACCATCCCCGAAGGCAAAGTCCGAGTTAAGACGCAGACGCAAGCATTGCCGAGATATTGCTGCAAACCAATGCACAGAATTCCAACGGAGACGAGATCCAAGTCCATATGAATTGGCGTACCAAAGGGAGATGGAACAGTTGGAGAAGGAAATCGAAGCAGAGCCGAAGAATTACGATCAGCTGTACTCGCAACTAATCACATGCTTTGAAAAGAATACCTACAAAGACCCCATTTCTGAAGCATACAAGTGCTGCCAGCAATCTTCAGAGGTTGAGGATGGGGGCGATGGTGATGGTGCTGGCGCTGGTGCAGCCGGTGACGGTAGAGCTAGTCGAGTTGTAGATCGTCGTTCTAATAAGACAGCTGAAAAGAGAGCTGGTTATGGCACTGGTGCAGGTGGAGGGGCAGGAGATGGTGCAGGTGGAGGAGCAAGCGAGGGTGCAGGTGGAGGAGCAGGAGAAGATGATGCAGGTGGAGGAGCAGGAGATGGTGCAGTTGAAGGGACTAAGCCATCTATAACTAAAGCTAGTAAACAGCCGAGAAAATCGGCTAGAAAATCAGGCAAAAGCATAGCTGAAGGCAAACAAAATGGCACTTCCTTAAAAAAGCCAGTCCAACCATTTCGCTATAGTTCCTTGTCTGAGAGTTCACCTAATCCATCTAGTTCGTTCGATAGACCAAGCGGCCCAGAGCCCTCCCAAATGTCTTGGCAAAAAAAAGACGAACATTCTGAATCGAAAATGCGCTTTAAACGCAAGAAGGGCAGGAAAGCCAAAAAACTAAGCGGCCATTCAGGAAATGACACTAATGTACCGAATAAGGATTGCCATTGTGAAGTTTGCAAGTTTCTGGATCGTCGAGAGAGTGAGCCAGATTCCCCGCTCATCCTCCAAATGAAAGAGGAAGAGAATCGACGCGCGCGCTGGGAATACTTTCATCGCATGCGCCAAGAGCAAATGATGTGCTGTGAGCCGGAGTATCGCGCCCCTCAGCGCAAGTGCGGCCCTATAACATGCGACAATAGCTTTTGCTGTAACCGCAATTTGAGTGAGTCTCTTGACCGTTTAGCAGCATTGCAAGAGCTGCAAAAGTTGATTGCTCCCAAGTACGGGAATATGGATCATGAGGTTCTCGACAAATTGAAGTTTCTCAGAAATCGTATATGCCAACAAATGTGCGACTGTCTATCGATGCAGAGGACTAAGCGAAATATTTGGCATTCAGACACTTTTGGTACATTTCACAACTCTTGACAACGTTATTTTATATTAACAATGTATTTTATAAGACTTCTTTTTGATAAAAGCAACTTGGCATGCTAAGATTTGGTGTAATATGGCCTTTGAATAAAATTCATTATGCAATGCCTACTTGACTACTTTTTTTTTACG